TCCCTCAATCAAGGGGCTTTGTCTCCTCATGACTGTGTCCCAGCCCCCAAGACATGCGTGGTACAAAGGAGCTTGGTCTATGTTGTTAAATCAATAAAACATGTTGAAGAATGGTCTCATTTATATAAAAAGGTAAAAGACCTTGATCCTATATAAATATCCTTGCAAATGCAAACACCAAAAAGACACTGAAGAAATTGTTAATGGTGGAGAGTACCAAGAGGGAGGAGGCCTGGTGCAGGAGGAGGAGGGATACCCTTCTGGGAGGCCTGACAGCTTCTGGGATTGTGTACTGCTTTTCTAATAAAACCTAGGTTAAGGCTACTTAATCCACTAGAGCCTCAGTTTCCCTATCAGTGATATGAAGAATAGTAATAATTGAGGGTTATTATAGCATTTGGAAAACAGATAAAATCCTGCAGATAGGCACTTCATGCACAGTTCCCTGGCACACACTATGTACACAGTAAACATGTTATTGCATATATATATATATATATATATATATATATGAGAGAGAGAGAATGAGAATTTTTAAAGACTATGGGGATCCAGCTCCAGTCTCATCCTCTGAACCTATGTTTATTTTACCTAGAACTTTCTTTCCCAGGACAGCTGCTGGGCTCATTCCCTCATATAATTACACTCTGCTCAAGTAAAATCTGGCAGCAAGGTCGTCTCCCATCAATCTCATGGGAAACCACCCTGTTTCCTCCCCACCTTGCCTGTGCCCTTGACCTTACTGATACTCCTCCCGGCAGGTAAAGACAGCCTGCCGTATTGTGTATTTCTTGCCCGTCTCCTCTCACTACAGTATAAGCTTGAGAAGAAACATTGTTTTGTCTCCAGCAAMGAGAACACTGCCTGATGTGCAGTGGGCATCCGATAGACAGTTGTGGAATGAATAAACATTTGAAACGTGCCATCAGGGAAACCAAAGAAACCTTGGAAAGGACGGCAGGGTGACCAGAAAGGACTTCCCACAGAAGGTGCTCTCTGAGCCGGACTTGAAGGGCACAGGGAGAAAGAACAGCCGGTTGGTAAATCCACAGAAGCGGAGGGCACAGARGGTGGGAAGGGGACTCAGAAGCAAAGTGAAGAAGTCCTGAGACCACCCGCGGAGAACGGGCCTTGGGTGCCTCGTGGACCCACAGGGTTGGCCTTTGGAAGGGACCCAGCCCGGGAGCTCACGTCTGAAGCAGGGAGTTTCTTGAGGACCCTTCTCCAGGTGAGGGGGAGGACCTGAGCTAAGATGCAGGTGTAAAGGGACAGTGTGGGATATGGGGTCACTCAGTCGCCTAAGGAGGGAGAATGGACAATCACCGGACTCTGCCTGCAAGGTGCCCCCGGGGAGGAGGGTGGCACCGCGAGGGGGCAGCCAGGGGCAGCCAGAGCACGTGTCCTCAGTGAAGGCAAGGCCTCCCTGCGGGCTGGAAGGGCCCACCGCCCGGCGCTGCGGCTCGCTCACCTGGGCCGCTCACCTGGGCCGTGCTCGCCGGCTCCGCGGCGCAGGCTCTCCCAGGGCCGACGTCGGGGGCAGCCGGTCCGGTTGGGGGAGCTCGCGTCGCCGCACGGTCCCTCGGGATCCCGGGAGGGCGGCGGCCGCAGCAGCCTGCTGCCGTACCCTGCCGTACCGGTGAGCTGGGGCTGTTGGCTTCGCCCGCAGGGTTGGTACACGGGACGCGCGCGGGCCACAGAAGTGCACGGGAATGGCACCTCTCAGGAGCCTCCGCGGCCGGCCTCGCGGCTGGCCTCGGAGGGAGCGGGGGTCCAGGCCTTGACTCCTCGTCGCCTCGGAGCGCCTCCTTCTGGACCCCTCCTAGCTCTAGCTGCCACCAGGTCCGCGATCCCCGTGACCTGTGGAGCTCGGGCCCTGGGCTCGTGAGCTCCAGGTTCCCCCAGCGCCCGGGCGACCCCGAAGGTCTGAGTGCAGAGGTCTGAGTGCAGAGTCGAGCGCAGGGGGAGCCTTGAGGCGCGGCGAGCAGCCTGGGGGACTAGGCGGAGTAGTCAGTGGCCTGCTGTGGCGCCGGCTGGAGAGGGGCGAGGAAGGCCAGGTGCAGACAGGATTTAGAAGTCATGCTCACGGGCTGGGTTGACTGGCAGTGAGACGGTAGGAAAGAAATCGAGGGAAACTCAACATTTTTTGCCTCCTCATTGGGTGCCCAGAAGTGCCTAGGATGCCTGCGGAGGGGTGGTGGCAAGTTTGTGATGCTATCAGACATCAGGGCGGAGAAACTTTGAGTGGACAGGAGCATCCGGGAGCCAGCTAGCTGGAGAGGGCATAGGCCAGGTAGACTGGTATGGGGGATGACCTCGAGGTGGGATGGAGGACAGAGCCCTGGGCCTGACATGCCCACATTCAGAGATCAGCAGAGAGGAGCATCCACAAGGAGACCATGATGGCCAGTGAGGCAGAAGACTATGGGAAGTGTGATGTTCTGGAGGTTGGAAGAAATTTGCCGATGGAGGGAGGAAGGACCTGGGGAGAGGCTGGACTGGGAAACATGCACACCAGGGCCGTCTCCACCCGGCTTGCAGCAGGAGGGTGGGCAGTACCTGATTTGAAAGGAGTGAGGAATGAGGTGCTGAAGTGGGGGTCATTCATGTGGGCCATGCCTGAGCAGGGAAAGGAGGCAGAGGCCAATAGCACACATCAGATGGGAGAACCTGTTTCTCCTTCCTCCAGATGTAAGTACTACAAATTGTTGTAGGTTGAAAAGAACAATCCAGCAGGGAGACAAAATGGATGATGCAGTGGAGAGCAGAGGCACTGAACAGGTAAAAGGGAGGGACCCAGTGTCCATGTAGGAAATTGGCCCCCGGTGCCTAGTGATGGAAAGCAGAGTGCCTGGTCCAAGGCACAGGTGGATATGGGGAACAGAATAATGCCCCTGCCATGCCCACATCCTAATCCCTAGAATTTTTGAATGTGTTAGTTTATATGGTAGAAGAAATTGCAAATGTGATTGAAGATAAAAGTCTGGATATTAAGGAGATTATCCTGGGCTCTCCAGATGGGCTCCAAGGAAGGCACAGGAGTCCTTAAAAGTACAAGGAAAGAGGGGGCAGAAGAGGAGGATCAGAAGACCCGTGACTATGGAAGGTCAGACAGGGTGCAACACACTGCTGACTTTGAAGATGGGGAAGGGGGCCATGGACCCAGAATTGTGGGTAGAGGAAATGGATTGTCCTCCAGCTTCTAGACAGGAATGCACACCAGCCTGCCAACACCTGATCTGAGCCCAACAAATCCTGTGGGGGACCCCTAACCTATAGAACTTCTGCATAATAAACACGTTTGGGGAGAGAGTACTGGGGATTTAACCCAGGAGTAATTTACCACTGAGCTACATCCCCAGCCCTTTATTTTTTTTATTTCGAGACACCATACCCAGCTACCATGTGGTGTTTTAAGTCAAGTTCATGGTCATTGGTTGTGACAGCCGTAGGTGACTGATACACAGGGCCAGGGATTTGAGACAAGAAGGTAATTCTCAGAGAAGGAGGAAGCCAGGCCATCGACTGCTTAGCAGGAGGCCTGTGAGGGAACCCAGGGGCCGTGGAGTGAGGAGGCCACAGGAGATAGTTGTCTGGCAGAGTGTAAAGCCTGTAGTCCCAGGTTCTAGGCTGTGCCATGGGCAAAAGCAGCTCTCACCCTAGGAAAACTTGGTGGTCATGGCTGTGGGAATCATTCCTATTTCAGAGAAAGCAAAAGTTGATTCTAAAGGTTAGAGAGGCTGACTCTGGACTGGAGAAGCACAGGGCCTGATTTCTGGGTCAGCAGCTTTTGACCTTGGGCAGGTCCTGGCACTTTTACCCCAGGTCAGCCTCTTGCACCTTGCATCCTCATTGACCAACCTTCCAGGGCCTCTGGGAAGATGGGGTGAGAGTGATGTCAGAGTAGAGTTGTTCCAAGCAATTCCAGCACCAAAGCTCATCACAGTGGATGTTGTTGGGAGCCTCACAAGGTAGGGCTAACAGGAAGGCGTGTTACCTATTTGTGTCCCTGTGCATCACTGTCTGGGGCTATGAAAATAACCCCAGGAGTAACATTTCCACTCCTCCAGCCCTCCTGGTGGGCCCAACCCTCTCCAACCCTCTCGACAGCTCAGCCCCAGTTACTAAAATGAAGCTGCATCTGGTTATAGCCCAGGGCCAGAGGTCTAGGATTGAATTATAGGGAAACTAGGGTGAACCCCTGGTGGCCAGGACCTGCTGAGAGACTTTGGTAAAGGGGTTGTTGGGAAAGATGCTCTTAAAGACAAATGGCCCAAGAGGAGACCCATATGTCAATCCTAAATCCTTACATCTCAACCTTACCCAACCCGCAGTGAGAACAAGCTGCTTTGGGATCTTGGAGCAGGAGGGGGCTTGGCTGTCGACTGACCCTGTGCTATCTGCAGGCCTTCCCCAGGTTGAAAGGGCAGGTTTCTACATCACAGCTGCCCATTCCTAGGGGTTCTAACTTCCTGGGTCCACTTTGACCTCAAGTTCAAGGTGCTTGAGGCCATGGCACTGCAAGCCATAAACTAGGTGGGTCTCCTTGTCTCCCAAAATCAATGGCACCCGGGGAAAGCTTCTTATCAAAAAGTGACAATGCAAGTAGCTTGACAACTGCATTGTGCTTGTGGATCCTAAGCCAGGTCTTTGACACTTCAAGCCAGATGGCCAGCAATTAGCCATTAGTGTTTATTCCTGGAAGCTCATAAACAATAGACCGATACAAAGAAGGGCCATTTCCCTATGGCTGAGCTACCCTGGAGACAAATCCCATGCCTATGAACTCGTTCCTCAGGAAGAGGAGGCCAGGCCTCAGGACCTGCCAGGCAGTGGAGGTGTCTCCACCTCCATCACATTAACTTACTTTGATAACAAACAGTGAGAAATTTTAAAAGACATTCACTAGTGTCGGAGAAAAAAAATGTGCTTACTTTAGTATCTACATCTCTGACACATTAATGACACATCAGTAATACTTCAAAGGTAGCTAACTCCAAAATTCTTTATTAATTCAACTGGAACCCTTGATGGCAACCACATACACAAACTCAGGTGTGCTACCAGCAAGTTGTACAGAGAGTAGCTCAGAGCAACACTGCAGAATTTGTAGCCTCTCCCTAGGCTCTTGGCAGAAGTGGCAAATTCAAGCTTCTGTTCAGGGCTGTGGCCAGAGTGTCCAGCCCTGGGGAGGCTCAGCATCACTCTGTCACTTCTACCCCCGTCACTAGACTGCCAGAAAGGGCTAGCGCAGGTGAATGTGTGAGAGCCCTGGTAGCCTACCAAATTCTTCCTCCTGCCTGTAGCTCCCTCCCTCTASCCATCCCAGAGCTGTAGGTTCCGGGAAAGTAACTCCCTCAAGAAACAGGACTAGGGCCTGACTGGGCTGGTCATCAGGGGCTGCCTTGCAAGCCATCCACTGGAGGAAGGGGAAGGGCAGACCTAGGAGATGTCTCGCAAACTTATTCCACATCTGAACCCCAAGGATGAGGGAGTAGAGTTCAGGCAGGCCTAGCCAGTGCCTGCAGGTCCCTGGCTGGCATTTGTCACCAAGGCCTCCAGACGCTCTGGGGTAATCGGGCCACAGTCAGGCTACCTAGGGCTGGAGGCATGAAGTCCCTTCCCTCAGCAGGCACCCGACTCAGTTCAGCCTCTGGAACCTCYTCTAGGTCAGAGCACAGGTCGTCCCCTGGGCCTGGAGGGCTGGGCAGTGGGGACCCAGGGACCCCTCCGGGGGGCCAGCCACTTCCCCAAGGGGCTCCAGGTGGCCCTGGCAAGGTGTCCCCCAGCAGATCCCGGAAGCTGCTCCCCTCGCGCAGCGGCATGGACTCAAGCAGGTGGTTCAGGAGCTCCGCTGCTACCGTGGTGTCGATGGCCTGGCATGTGGACACGAATGTGTGCACCTCGTGCATGCACTGGATGTAGCCAGCAGCAAAACGCTCACTCGCTTCCACTTGCAGCTGTTCACGCTCTGCGAGTGGGAGGAAGAGAGCAGCACCCAACGCCATGAGCTGAGATGCCGGTGGCCAGGCCCACCCTGGCCATGGGTACCAAGTTCACCCAGGAGAGGGGGAACGTGAACCCCGTTTTTGGGAGCCCTAGCTACCGACAGGGCAGGGACGTCGCTGGAAGAGAGGTATTTCASGGGAATGGCATCCTGGGAGAAGGCGCCCGCGCCGGGTCCACGCGCCCCGCTGCCACTCACCACGCGCTCGGCCCCGTAGCGCGCCCTGCACGCGCCGCACTGTCAGCTCCAGCACCTCGGCGTTCTCCAGCTTAGCTTGCACCTGCGCAGGCAGGAAGAGCGGTGAGCCTGGCCGCGCGCCCCGGGACCCACCCCGCCCTCCCCGCAGCCACCGGCGCCCGCGGGGCCGCCGCACCTCGGCGCCAGCCAGCAACAGCCGCAACTCCTGCAGGCTCTCGTTGATCCGCGCACGCCGCTTCTTCTCCACCAGAGGCTTCCGGGCCTGCGGGAAGCGGGTCACTGAACCCCAGCCCCGCCAAGCCTCCCACTCGCCCTTCCGCCCGCGGGCCCCACTCGCACCTTGCGGTCCCCGCGGGCCTCCCAGCAGTCCTCGTCCTCGCGGCCCGCACAGTCCCTGGCGGGAACCAGGGGCGGAGCCATGCCTTCACCGCCAGGAGCGCGGCTAGGGCTGCGAGCCCCGGCGCCCCTCGCAGCACCCGGGGAGTCCCGCTGTCCCGCTCAGTTCCTCGCGTCTTCCGGCTCGCAGCGGCCCCGCCCCTTTTATAGCCACTTATTTGCATCTCAATGCGCCAATTGGCAGCGCGGACTCCGAGCAGGCAGCCTCGAGGCGCCCTTCGGCCAATGGGAGCGGCGTGCTTTGTCCGGCGCGGCAGCCCCAGCCGGTCGGCAGCTGGCGGGGCGGGGCCCTCAGCCCGGCCTCCAACGACCTCCGCGGGGGCTGCACCCGGGGGGCGGTGACCCGGGGGCAGCGGCCTTGAGCAAGCTGGTTTCCTGCTTTCGGCTGCCATAGGACCCCCGGGTCTGCTGTGAGGGGGCTGACCCATTCATGCCGTCCTTCCTCCTTTCTTCCCTCCCACCATCCATCCATCCGTCCGTCCATCCATCCTGGCGTTAGCTGCTCCCTTGGTTCCCTAAACGTGCCTCCCAAGAGTAGCGCTCCAGCCAGTCGCCAGTGGCCGGGTTCTGGAGAAGCGGAACCAAAGTCAAGTCCGTGGACTCCGGATCTGGAGGGGACTTCGTGTCCAGGCTGGGGTGGGTGCGAAGCCCCAGGGAAGTGGGGGTCAGTTGTGCAGCCAGTGTAGGGTCGCCCTGCGATCCCCTCACGTTTACTGCGGACTCTGGACACCCAAGCTTGCCACTTTGCACCGGAATCCTAGTATGGGGAGGTCCGCGGGAGCTCCTTCCCAAATCTTCCTTTAGGTTCTTTTCTCTTGGTCACCTACCCACCCCCCGCAGCCCCCACCTCCCCGCACACTGCCAGTCCTTCCCTGGCCCCCCCACCGGAGGTCCGTTGTTCCCTGGTCACATCCCTCTTTCCCCCAGAGCTCCCCTCATTTCCCCCACAGTTTCCTTCGATTTCAACCCCCCCCCCATACACACACCTCCTTCTTCCTCTCGCCCTCACCCCGCACAGCCCTTCCTTGTTCTCTCCCGCACCCCATGAGCCCCCACCGCCTCCATCGCCCCTCCTCCTTTGCTCCAAATCCCTTTCGTGCTGTCCCCCCAAGTCCCGCCTCGCTTTTGGCCCCCGCATCCTCCCGCCCGGCCCGCCAGAACTGCCGTCTGGCCGCCGTAACTTGACGCCCGTGACAGTTGGCAGCTGCAGCCGCTTCAGCGGAGAAAAGCGGCGGCAGCGCCAAGAGCGACAGGTGTTGGCCGCGCCTTTGTCTCGTCCGCTTTGTCCCGCGGGCCTCAGCTGACACGCTTGTGTTGGCCAGACGCCCGCGACCCCCACAGCTCGCCGCCCATCTGGCCGCCCAGGCTCGCCGCGGGACCGCGCCCCTGGGCAGCGCCCTGGGGACCCTGACCTGGTCCTCTCATGCCCCTCGCAGCCTGTCAGAGCCTGTGCACCCAGATGGCTTCTTGGCACTCGGCCTCTGCACTCAACCAGCCTTCTTCCTGAACAGGCTCTGAACCCACCTTCAGCGAGGGCCTCCTCACTGTTCAGGTCTCAGTTTCCCCTCCATGTCCTTAGGAGATGCCTGCCCCGTCCAGCTGGGTCTAGCCCAACACTCATCCCCGCAGCAGCACCTAACCTAGTCCTGCACTACTTTCCCGTGCTGGGATTGTCAAGGTCTGCTCTCAGCTCCTCCAGGCTGTGAGCAACCCTGCTGAAGGGCCCAGTTCTGGCCTAGGACTCCTCTCCACCTCCCAGCACTCCAGCACAGAACTTGACCCCATGAACTGCAAGTAGGGAAGGGCCAGCGTTGGTAGCCTGGCTGTTGGAAGAGGAGAGTCCCAGGACACCATAGCTGGGCAAGAAGATCCCCACCCTCCATTCTCCGGCAGGTCCGGCAAACCTGTAGCTCCCCAACAGAAGAACCATCACAGGCTACAGATATGATTTGGGTCAAAAGATTTGAAAGTCCCCAAAGTCACCTCATTGACCTCTCACCTGGTAGCCCCTCTTGCCCACTCTTATCTATTCCTGCTCTGCCTCTGGGTTACTCCTATATGTGCAGGCCCCTGAGATTTCCCCTAGCCTATCACTTATCTACACACACACACACACACACACACACAAGTTCCAAAGCCTGGCTCTATTCCATGTACCCTCCAGGGAGGCTGCTCAGACACCCAGTCAGTCTTCCCCCAACTCCTAATAATGAGACTGATGGGGGGTGGTGCTGAATGGTGGATCCTAATGGAGCCTGTAGATGACCTGTGACCTTAAAGTCCTTTACCACTTAGACATCACCTCTCAGGGAAGGAGACTCCCACATGAGTACAATTAAGTTTCAACTAGTTTAAGAAACAGGAAAAAATAAACTCAGTAATGATTTTTGCACTCCCATGTTTGCAAACTTGTATTTCTCCCAATATCTAAGTGAACCAGGCCAAAAATGTTTTAGGATGCTCTCCATGAAAGTGTTCCTCCTGGGATAGCATGATCTGGGAACTGGGGGAGCCTCTAGGAAGACACTGAGATTGACTGGGGAATGAGGTATGAGGGGCAGAAAAGGACATGATAAAGCCCAATGGTACAAGTAAAAATGAAGGCGATAAGGAACTCCAGGAAAAACGCAGCCCGAGAAAAAAAATGGTCTCTTAGTACGATTTGGGCTTATGGAGCAACAATTCTCTTATAGTCACAGCAATGTAATGCTGTTTATAGGGTTTCAAGATTTACAATCCTTCTACAGAGAAGGCAAGGAAGGCTTATTTATAGTTGTTACTGACAGCCCATCCAAGGGAAACTGCCTGGTTCCAGACTGGCCAGATTCAGCTGCCAGCCCAAATAAGAAATCAATCAACAATGGAAAAAGGAAAAAGGGATTTTCAGCAGTTTGATCAAACTAGGGAGAAGAGGTAGATGATTGAGTGTCTGCCAGTCTTACAGAAGAAAGGATAATTTCTAGAACCAAATACCAGGTGGTGATATACATATGTAGACTTAACTGCCCAATGACATATTAGTTTGAGCTCCTTGGCATCTGTGCAGGCCCAGATGTAGTTTTTATTCTCTCTGTTTTGGTTATAGGTCATGATGTCTTCACTTTGACTTTAGAAGCATACTAACAGAAGTGAGGGCTGGGGACCTGGGTGCTGAAGTCCTGAAGAATACTGCCTAGAGTTGAGGGAAAGAGGACTGAGACATGCCTCCGTGTGACCAAGTCCCCTGAGAAGGAAAAGGTTAGGACCGGCCCGTGCTGGAGTTAGCAGAGTCCTTCTGTGTTGGACTGAAGTCGCTTGAGGCCCTCCTGCAGTGGATCTCAATTTCCTTCAGTGGGTCTATTCTCGGGTGGCTTGGACTTTGTCCCAGAAACCTGGCTACCTCATCTTGGGGCCACCAAGCCTTGTCTCCTTCCTTCTTCAGGCCTCCCCTAGCCAACCCACACCCTGCCATTTGTCCTTTGGACAGATTCTGCCTTCAAAGTTTGCCTGAGCACAGCCTTCCTGAGCACTTGGGCCCTTTGACCCCCTAGAGCCAGGAACAGAGTTCAGCAGAGGCTGAGCAGCGCCATGGTGGCCACAGGCTGACCAGTTAGCAGCAGGAGTGACAGGCCATAAATTCCCAGGGGGACAAAGGCAGTGACCAGCCTGCAGATGTCCAGGCCCTTGTGAGCAGTCTGCCCAGGAGACTCAGAGAATCTCCTTTTGGTTTAGAAATAGAGAGGGTTTTTAGGGTTAAGAAAAATGCAATCACAGATCTTCCAGAGGTGCTCAGGATTCAGTGAAGCAGCTATCTGGCAGTTCAGAGGTTTGCAGCCACTTTGGTGTTACTAGGACTCTGCCTTAGGTCCCTTCATCAGCACTGGTAGTTAGACAGCCAGGCCAGGAGCCAGAGTGCAGCCCACCTCCTGCCCAGGGAGCTCCGGGAAGGCTGAGCATTGGGCCCAGGATCCATTTACCCCTCTGTTTAAGAAGTGGGAGGAAGAGGGGAGCAGGCCTCCTCACACCTCCCCTCCGTGGACAGGTTCCACAAGACTCCCCCCAGCAGGTGGTGAGGCGGGAGGTGTGTCAGGAGTGCCCTGCCTGTCTTGTTCCCCAGGGGACAGCATCCTCTGACTTCCTGGCCCTCAGCTCCGTGGCAGAGCCGTCAGTCCAGCTGGAACTGACAACGGGGGTGGGGGCTGACCCCGCGGGGCCTGGGGTCTAGCGGGGTGGAGAGGGGCTCTGGCGCTGAGCCAGGCAGCACGTCCTGGGACGGCGAGTGAAAAGGCTGCAGGAGGGAGGACGGGACTGCGTGAGTCCACGTGCATCAGGAGTTCACTCCATGGCCTGTGGTGGCCAGAGTGCTGGAGAGAGGCAGAGCAGACGGGAAAGGGACCAGCAGGGGGCCACAGGAGGGAACAASGACTACGTGACCCCTGGGGTCCAGGATTCCCTGATTCAGAATTGCTGGAGTGTGGCATAAAAAAAACAAACAAAAATACCCAAATACCTCTTGATCATCTTTTACCACAAAACAAAACAAACATGCAACTTAAAATAAAAATATATTTGCTTTATTTACCAATTTTCTAAAAGGCAAAAACATCATAAAAAGACACAAGCAGTCACACAGATATATTGCACTGGGTGAGGAGAGTTTGGTTTGTGCATGAACAAACCACTTGTCCGGCAAGGCTCAACAAATCATCACGTAAACTCTGACGGCTTATTTACACATCTTCTCATGAATATATTAAAAAGAAGGCTCAGTTTAAAACAGAGAAAAGGTTTTCTGACACCCGTGTAAGCACACACAAAAGAGAGACAGGACTCGATGCTTGGCATCATGTAAACAAATTCACAAAATCACCCTATGAAGTCAACTTCTGAGCAGTTAACAACCAGTGAGCATGGAGTAAATACAATAATGCTGATGGAAAACATTCACGGCAGGAGAGAGAGCATTTTGGCAGTTTTGTGTTTGGAACCCTAAGTGTAACCTTAGTCTACCATCTGTCCCTCAGGATCTGAGGCGGAGGCAGCCAGCCGCCCACCATGCTCGTGAACACACAGACTACCACCATCGCTTGGGCAACTGCAGGTGCTGTTGCTTTGTAAATTAAAAAAAAAAAAGTGTTCTTGTATTAATAAAAAATAGTATTAACATTCAGGCATAAAATGGTTTTATGAGGAGATACCACCTTTCTTGTAGCTGTTTTTTTCCCAAAGAACAGGGAAACCTGCTTCCTATCAAGCATCACGGTCTCATTCCAATTTTAAGGGAACAGATTCACCAGCTGCAACTTCTTACTCACAACAGGGACAAACATTACACTTTCCCAGCAGCCTTTGGGATATCTGGTGCACGTGAGTGTTCTAAAATCGGACAGACAGACTGGTCTTCTTCCCCAAGAGTTCAGATAATCTGGAAGTGTGGCAGTGCTGGCAGATGTCACAGCAGAGACCTGAAGCTGTACCAAGAGAGGACAGGCACATGAAATAGTGAGGGCCAGGCAGCCCCAGGGTGTAGGGGGAGGGGAGCCCACCGTCCTGGAACATGCGATGGAGTCAGTAGCGGTGGGCCGCCAGCTCCCGGTCGCCAAGGCTGTTCTCTGCCAGGAGCTGGCACTGGCTTTGCTGGGTCAGCTGATGTCTGAGAGGCTCCAACCGAAGCCCAGACATGACTGGGTCCCCTGCAAAGTGGTCAAGGCTTGGTTTGCAGAGGGAGGTCACCATGAAGATATGACGACCTGACTGGTCACGTATTTCTCTCTGCTATTGACCATCTGGTCTGAAGGGGTGTGAGGGCGAGGTGGAAACGCTCCCAGGATCTGGGCGGGCATCAGTCTGATGAAGCTGGTCACACAAACCACTGGGCTCTGTTCAAAGCTGAAGCGAGCATTTCAACTTTGTTCTCTACAAACAGGAGCACGTCAGACCAAAATGTCCACCACCATGGTCCTGGAAGCCAAGCGGCAAGTTAGGTGCACACCACCTCATGTGAAGCCTTTGAAGAACATGAGGAGAGGCTGTTACCTCTGCAGTATATGAACCAACACCTGGCTGGACTAATGACCACTGCGGATAAGCCCCTGAGGACAGAAGTTGATCCAATCTAAAGACACCCTGGGAAAGCTCCAGAACACTGGAGTCCTCAGCTCAGAGCCACTCATGGCTTCCTGGCCATTTGTCACAGCCTGCCATGATGTCTTGGGTCAACCCACAGGGGCCAGTGGATGCTGGTGCACTGGACCAGAGGTCTCACTGTGGTTGAAGAACTTCCAAGGGCACTGCGGCAACTTCCCTGAAACATCCACGGATGGGTCTCCATCTTCTTCAAGTCCAGCAACAACCAAAATCTCTGCTCCACCCCCAAACTCCATGTTTGTATTTTAAATATGAAAACATATTTCTTCCTAAACCCTTCCTACTCTCCAGTTTTAAATCATCGCTTCAGAAAACTGTTTTGTTTTTCCTAAGACAAGAAGCAATGTAAGCCTCTATGTCCATTTCATTAGAAGCAAACGTGAAGACCTTCCGTCTCTTCCAGGCACCGTCTACGCAGGTCCCTGCCGTTGGCCGGGGTTACGTCTGATCCTCCTCCCTGGGCCTCGGGGCTTGCCCACTTTCCTCTTCTTTGGTGTCGGACGCATCGCTGAGTCCCAGGGAAGGAATGTCCCCCTCATATGGCACACAGACGCTGCCCTTCTCTTCACTTTCACAGTAAACACATTCCTTAAAGGAAGAAAGGTGACAGGTGAGAAGCTTGGGGCTGGGCCTCGGCTGCAGAGGCTCCAGCTGAGTGGGAGGCAGGTGACCAGGTGTGGCGTCTGCCTGTGCCTGGAGCTGGACTCTGGTCTGGAGGGTGGGCCACAGCACTCGAAGGGTGAAAGTGCCAGGCCGCAGTGGGCGGGCGTGGGGACGGTGCGGCACGCCGCGGCGTTGGACAGACGTCCTCGAGAGCCACAGGAAAGGGCTGCAGGGGCTAAATGCGTCTTCACGTTCCTCCCACCTTTCTCTCCAGAGGTGGTGCCTCACCCCCCTCAAGCCCGGGCTGCACTCAGGGAGAGTGTGGGGCTCTTCAGGAAGTGCGCACTTCCCCGGTTCTCCCGGGAGGACAGCTGCACGTCATGCCCTCATATCACCCTGGCTCCCCGTGAGGAACAGCTAGCACCAGCTCGCCTGCGACCTTCAAGGCAGGGGTCAAGTGACAGGAGCCTCAGCGGAACCTTCCTTCACCCTCGTGAGACCCTGGGCCAGAACCGCCCGGCGGAGCTGCTCTCAGTTCCTGACCCCAGGAGGCTGCCCAAGGGGCTGCACCAGCCCCGGGAGGCCTTGGGGTCCTGGGGTCATGTGCTACGCAACAAGGGATACGAGGCTCAAAGGCAGCCAGCGCCAGCGCCAGGCGGGCCACCCGAGGAGAGGGTTCCTGGCAGAGGGAGGGGGCGAGGATCCTGCGGCAGGTACTGCAGGGGGCCCCTGGGAACAGCCAAGAGGCCAGAGCAGCTGGAGGGGAGGGAAACTGGAGAGGAGACGAGATGGTGGCAGGTCTGGATGGCCAGAGACGGGAGGGACTTGAGCTCTGAGCTGGTGGCCTGACTCTGGGGAACAGGGAGGCGCACTGACCACAACTGGGAGGCCACCTCAACATGCAGGTGCAGTGCCACTGTGTGTGGGGGGACAGTGGAGGGGTGAGAGCATCTGGCTTCTACCCACTGCAAGGCCAGTGACAGGATCTTCTGGTGGCTGGCGGGAGTGACTGGAGATGGGGGAGAGGGCAGAACGGCTCTTCCTGAGGGTGATCAGGAGCTTGATTTTGGACACGTCAAGCTCCAGAGGACTAGAGCCTAGGGACCACTGTCCCCAGCTAGAGGAAGGAGCCTCACACAGAAGGGAGGCCAGGGGAGGCAGTGCCAAGGCCAGAGGCCAGTGTGGCAGGGGTGAGGCTGGGGAGAGGGACTGGAGAGCACGCGTGGCTTTGAAACCTGGGACCAGGATGCGCGGGGGGTGGAATCGAGGGTGCAGGAGAGGGTGCAGGAGAGGCCCTTGGCTTGTTGAATACAGACAGAACGGAAGGGGAAGCACTCCGAGGTCAGCACGAGGCTGAGAGCCGGCACCAGACCTCAGGGACCATGCTGAAGAGCCAGCGGCAGGGGGCCCCTCCAGGCAGGCTCGGCAGAGTTGGAGAAGCTTCTCCTTTTTCAAGAAATAAACTTGTTTTCAGATTTTTTAATTTACAGAAAAGTCGCAGAGAGCACAGTGAGTGTCCTTTGGTGGACTGTTGGGACCGGATGACGAGTGGGTCTGTGAGCTTACCGCCACATTGATGGCTGCGGGCAGGCCCCCTGTCTGGACCCAGGGGTGGACCTCGCGCAGCTCCTGCCTCTGGCCCTCGGTGAACCAGGGCTGGGACCTCTGCAGCAGCTTCAGCTTTTCTCTGTCTTCCTTCAGGACTGACTCCAGATCCCTTCAGGAGGATTGGAAATAAGAATGCTTCAGAAGGGACTGGTCGGGTTTGTTTCAAAGAACATGCTCACTTCTACCCCTCTTCCAATGTTCATGACAGTTTTAGATCATTTTGTTTAGTGCAAATTTCCTTCTATTTAAGATAAATTCCTTCATTTATAGTAACAATCTCATTAGCAGATAATCTGTAGTCGTTCTATTAAAATGGTGATCTGGGTCAGACTGAGAGGAGCCARTATGTGCAGGGGCAGCCTGGGCCTCTGGGCTGGGCGCTGCAGGGGCGTGGCTACCCGGGAGAGTCTTACACCTGGGCCACAGGCAGCATAACCTTCCCTTGCACCTGGCCAGTGCTGCCCTGGACTGCAGCTCCTAGAGATGGAGCCGTCCCCCTGGCCCACCAGAGGCTCAGCTCTCCTCACCATGGAACTGACCTGTCCTTCCCACCGTCCCTGAGCCCAGCCTCTCCTACCCAGCGGTGCTCTCCAAGGACAGGGACCACATCCAGGTCCAAGAGCAGCCTGACGTGGACTCGGTGCCTAAGCACAGACCCCGGTCGCCACAGAGCAGCAGATGGCCTACCTTGACCCTTGGTTTCAGCTCTCAGACAAGACACACATCTACCCCACAGGCTGACTGGGTAACAGGGCACAAATGTGTCGTAAAAGTTGAGCATGGCACCAGGGGAGGCTACCCTTCCCCAGCGGGTCCCTGGAGGGGAGCCCTGCTTCTCTCTTCTACCCTCGCTGGGTCTGGGACAGGGCCACCTGTAGGCATGGCCTGCTGTTTCTGTGAGTAGCGGGCCAGCCTCCAAGCACAGGAGGCTCTGAGTGTTTACCGGGAAGGCAGCTGGTAGGTCATCATGATGCTGTCGTCCGCGTCCGCCATCAGCAGCCAGATGGGGTCCTGCAGGACGTACTTGATGAAGTGCTCACTCTGCCCCTTGCTCCTGTCCATTTCTGCTTTGTGGTGATTCTCTGAAGAGTCAATGCTTCCAAAATATTTGCTGGTACGACTGGTGTCAGTACTGCCTTTAAAAAAACATGATTTGGGGAGTCGAAACCTTGAAGCATGGGCCATGTCAGTGCTGGAGAGCCTGGCTGGCCGAGGCGGGGGCTGTCCAGGTCTTGACTGACCTGGACGATGAATGAGGGCCCGACTAGCCCCATGGAGGGCCGCTTGCCTGGGGAGGCTCTGTGAACCACGGACCTCCAGAGACAGGCAGTGTCCTGGGGGGAGGAGCTGGCCCACAGTGCCCTCAGCCAGCGCACGTGGGCAGAGGTGACAGTGCACCTCTCTACAAGCCCAGGGCCAAGGAATGCCCACTCAGGGGAGAAGGGGGCTCCGGTCCTGGGGACAGTGTGGGCCACCAAGTCATCATGGTTCCAGTCATTTGAATGATCCTGCTCTGTACAGGTTTGTAGCTGAGAAGAATAAACTGCTACCAAGGGAGACAGAGGTGGCCCAGCAGGGACCTGGGGGGGTGAGGCCTACAGAGGAAACGGAAGCAAGCAGGCAAGGTATGGCCTTCCGACTGGCCCTGGCCTGCCACCTCACCAGGCTGGGAGAGGGTGGTGGGCAGGCAGTGCACACTTCTGCACTAGTGGACCCCTGGGGGTCTGTGGGCAGGGTGATTCTGGCCCTGAGCCTACGATCCTGGTAGAGGCCCTCCTGTGTGAGTCCTCCAGGTGTGCCACACACCAACATGTCCACACACACCCACGTGTCCACACACACTGTGTCCACACACACCAACACATCCACACACACCAACACGTCCACACACACCAACACGTCCACACACACCAACACGTCCACACACACCCATGTGTCCACACACATCCGCCTGTCCACACACACTTGCCTGTACACACACACCCACACACCGATGCGTCCATACACACCCACCTGTCCACACGCATCCACACACACCCACCTGTCCACACGTGCCCACGCGTACTCACGCGCCCACCTGTCCACACACACCCACCTGTCCACACACACCCACGCGTACACACGCGCCCACCTGTCCACACACACACACACCTGTCCACACGCGCCCACGCCCCCAGGGGAAGCATACCAGCCCCACTTTGGGACGCGCTGCAGCCTGGCGAGCTGGAGCCCAGGGAACCCGAGGTGGCAGAGGCCCCACTCCCAGACAGGGCTGACCCGGTGGCCGAGCAGAGGTCCTCACTCAGCAGCAGGTTGAGCAGGTCGCTGGACACAGACAGGGCGTCACTCTCCTGGGCCTCTGAGGGCTCTTCTCGCTTTAGGGACAAGGAGAAGACAGCACTGTTCATGGGGCTCGGCCACACACAGAGCACAGTGAGGCTGGGGGGAGTGGGCTGGGCTGGAGGGGCACTGCGGGGGCTCGGACACGAGCCAGCCTCCACCGGCCACATGGGCAGACGGTCCTTCTACTGGGGCTACAGGAGAACTGGGCTGTGCTCCATGACAGCCACTGAATCGACGTGACTTCAGGAGTCACACAAGACCAGAGGCGGCAGACGTGGAGTGAGGGCCCCCCAGGCCCACCACCCGCGTGGTGAGGCTCCACACTTGAGAGCACCGTCCGGGGGAGCACCCGGCCCCGGGGCCTTGAAACCCAGAAGGCAGGCCAGCACCCAGCAGCACAGTCAGGAGGCAGAAGACACCCCGAAGGACCCACTGCTCTGTAGAGGAGCCCTGTGCCCTGCAAAAGCAGGGGACCCCAAGAGAGGTCCGTCCTCTGAGCACAGCACACTGAACTGTGGCTGTCATTCTACCATCCTGGAGGTGGAAACTGGGGGCACTGGCTTCAGGGTGGGAAGGCATGAGTCCCCTTCCTCCTCCTCCTCCACTGTCCCTCAGGGGGTGGCAGAGGTGTCGTGGTTAAACTGATTGCGCATCATCTTAGGAAACTCGCTGAGAAATCTGAGGCCCACAGACACTCTCCACGAGTCACACGCGGCTATTTGGGCTCTGTATTCACCACAGACACTCTGCCGCCCTTCCCTCAGATTCCAAGGCACTGCAAAGCTCCGGGTCGACTACAAGACAGGACGGAGCCTCTGGGAAGTGCTGACTCCAGCTTGGTGGGACCCTCCCGCGCTCACAGCCACCAAAGCTGAGACCCCGGGGCACTGGCCTGCCTCGCAGTGTGTCTGCAGCCTGCTGGGAGAAGGGCATCGGGGACGCCTTACTGTGGGGGGCGCCTTTGCCTGCTGGTCCTGAGGAGYGCCAGGCGTGCAGTCGGGCCTGGCAGCTGCTGTTCCAGGGTGGCCCCAGGTCGCTGTGGCCCCAGCGCTGCCCTCGGGTGGCTCCTCCATCTGCAGCAGGTTGAGCTGCAAGGGCGAGCTGCCTCGGGACTGGAAGAGCGGCGGGGAGGCCCTGCCTGCGGCCACTGTGGCTGACGAGGGGGTGGCTGGGCGAGGGCAGGGCTGCCTGGGGAGTGGGGTCTGCTGGGGGACCTCGGGCTGGGAGCCAGGAGTCACTCCAGGGGGGAGCCTGGGGTGGCCAGGGAAGAAGGCCTGGGGCAGGTTTGGGGCCACTGGTGGGAAGGGACAGGCAGGGAGCACGAGGGCCACGACGGGGGCCACAGGGGCGCTGAAGGGCAGGGGCTGGACTGCCGACTCGTGCTGGGGACCCACAGGCAGGGCGGGCACCGCGAAGCTGGTGTGGGGAGCTGCAGGCGCTGACACCATGGTGCCTGGAGCTGGGAACACGGGCAGGGGATACGTGGGCACTGCAGCGGGGAAGGCCAGAGCAGGGCAGCTGGACTGGGACGTGTCTGAGGGTGACCAGGCTGTGGCGCTCAGGCTGGCCAGTGGGCGGCGGTGGGGCTCCAGCCCTCCAGGCCCTGCGCTCTGGGAGGGTCCCCGAGGCCTGGCCCTTCTGGACTTGAGTTTTCTGTTCTTTCCTGTTTTTTTCCAAGATGAGTCTATCCCAGAAGTACTTCTTAGTCCAGGAGCAGCTAAAATAACAAAAGCAGCCAGCGTTAAGTATCAGAAGTGTGTGGCTCCCGAGGTTCAACCCCGACACCTGAGGGTTCAGACATCTGTGTCCCAGCCCTGTGCTCCCGGATGCCAGCCCTGGGTCCACCATCGGGTGTCCCTGGCCCTGGGCAAAGAGAAAACCCAGGCAAAATGTCACATTTTCCATACGACTAAAGTCATTAGAAGGAGCACGACCGCCCTCCTTCTCTTCTTCTGACCTCACCAGGCCCTCTCTATGAAAAGTGCATGGAAACTTCTGCTTCTCAAAATACACAAATAAAAAGTCGGCCAGCCTCCGCTGTTCCCAGTATTTGGGGGAAAAAAGATACACTGGTTTGTGAAAGTGGAAGGCAGAACCGCTGACCTCATCTACCATCTCTCTAACTTTATGAGCTTCTCCCTGGTATTCCTAAAACGGAGAGGTCTCCTGCTTCACCTGTCAACACCTGCGCCAACGCCAGAAGATCAGAGGGAGGTGGCTGTGGTTTGGCTCCTGGGAGTCCCCAAAGGCCAACAACTGGGAGGTGGGAGAACTTGTAGGAATGAGGAAGACGTCTGGCCACTGGCCTGTGCCCTGGGCCTGAGGTGCCTGCCCTTGGCCTGGGACCTCAGCCGCTCCTCTTCCTCTCGGCTTCCCCTAAGCCCTCTGGCCATGATATGCTGGGCCACTGCAGGCCCACAGCACAGGGACAAGCGATGGTGGACTGAACCCTCTGAACCCTCAGGTAACTGTCACAGTGACAGAAAGCTGGATGACAGTCCCATGTGCCCTGGGAACCACGCTCCTCCTCTGCCATGGCAGGGCTGCTGGCACAAGGCCCTCTTCAAGAGGATGAGGGCTCAGTGGGCTCCAGTGCCCTCCTGGCCCTGGGGGAGGTTGTCCCAGGAATCTGTTTCCCTCCCACTTCCTGTGAGCCACAGTGTGTGGGGACACCTCCTGTCAGCTGGGCCCAGGGTTCCACACCTCTGTTTCAAGCCAGCCCAAGCAAACTGCTTTTGCGATTCAGCCTCCATGTGGTCTACTGGAGGTCTGTTCCCCTGGGGGAAGAGTGGCTAAAGCATTGGGCTCCTCGGATAGCACATGCAGGCCTGTGCAAAACGCTCCGGGCAGCTGTGTAAGTTGTGCACTGCACAAACTGCTAGGGAAAGGGGACAAGTGGGAGGTGGAATTCTGGATAAGCTGGGCTCATAGGGTAGATCTGTTCAGGATCAGGAGGGCAATCCGCATGGGCTGGCCGTCATCCTGAGTGTGGCGATGAGGGTGAGGAGGAAGAGTGAAAAAGCCATCCCTGGCTGAGGAGCGGCTCATGGTGGAGCACGAGCTCAGTTACCGGGCAGGGAACAGGGCCAGTCCTGGGATCTGACCTGCAGGCCGTGAGGCCCCGCAGCTGCTCTCCCCGACCTTCCTGGGACACACTGCGTCCCGAGGCCAGCACCGAGCTCCACCACCTAGGTCAAGGCCACAAGCCCACGTCTCGTGGGGCGCCCGCACTCACTGCTCTCACTCGAGGGCCCCCYGGATCTTTCTCGTGAGTAGTAATGGCAGTGAGCCGGGAGCACCCCGAGTCTCCTGGCTCCGCGGAACTTCTGCAGGAAGCTCTGCTCCTCTCTCTGCGTGTGCGCGGCCAGCACTTCCTTGGTGAGGCCCAGGTTCTGCAGGGGCCCCTTCTCCTGGCCGAGGCTGTGGGGCAGGCAGTCCAGGGACTCAGGTCCACTCGCTGCGTCCTCCACCATCTCTGAAATGGGACAGGCCTCTGGTCTGCACGAGCCCGACCACTCGGTCCCACATCACCCCTGCGACGCGCAGGTCATTGGGGAGTGACTACTTCCCGACGCCCATGGCACGAGATGGAGTTCCCAGCGTCTTCCTTTAGCCCGCTGGGAAGGTCGCCATGAAGGGCACGGAGCAGTGCCAGGGGCGCCCGCGCCAGGTGGCTCAGGAATCAGAGCCTCTTCCCATGGACCCGGGGAACCTCAGGCCTGGCCTTGTGTTGAGGACGCTCTACAGCTGTCCCTGGCCTTTATCACTTATTTTTATTGTTTTAAAAAGATCTATTTTTGTAGTCGTGGATGGACCTTTATCCATTCATGATCAAACATGGGGCTGAGGTCAAACCCAGGGGCTCACACGTGCCAGGCGGGCACCCTGCCTCTGAGCCCGGCCCCAGCCCCAGTCCTCAGCCTTTAGACACAGGAGGCGGCCGAGGTGCTGCGCCTTCCCCGCAGGGGCAGGGAGGACGGGCAGGCGGCACCGGCTGCCCTGAAAGGGACAGATCCTCATCGTCCCTCTCACTTTTGCTGCATCACGGTCCAGCCCTGAAGTGGGGAGCGCGAGGAGGGCACGGCAGAGGTGGGCGTCCAGGGGGTGAGAAGGCGGGCTCCACACCCAGAGGGGTACTCCTCTCCCTGTCCACAGCCAACCAGAGCAGATGGCGCCTCCACGGGCCAACGCGGCAGGGTCGGAGTGGCTGTGGGCAGACCTGGGGCCACACCCCACTGCGCACTGTGCACCACGGATTTCCTGGAACCCTCACTGGGCCGAGGCAGGGTCTTCTGATAAGCTGAGCTAGACTGGAGGTGGACATCAAGTGCCTCCCTAATTTTAGGATCAGACTGCTTGGCATGTCCTCAAAGACCCCACAGACACACCTGACTCAGGCTGCGGCTTTTTGTCCCCAACGTGGACGATGGTGCTGCTGTAGCTGCACTGACTGGTGAGGGACACCACGCTTTCAGCCTTGCCGGGCAGCGCCAGCGAGCTCAGGCGGGCACTGACTTCCCTGCGGCTGCTCACCTTGGCGGGTGACGCTGCCCCTGAGGAGACAATGGAAGGAACAGGCTCAGGCTACGCGGGACTCTGTGGACTGCGTGTCACCCACATACGTGCGTGCCACAGACGGCCGGCCCTGGGGCCTGAGCTCAGTGCCCTTCACGGGAGAAAGGTGAGAAGAGGGAGTTCCACAGCAGGACGGCTTCCTCTGCAGGTGCACTGCTGCTAGGTGGCTGTGGGGCCTGGGTCAGAGGCCTAGGCTGCAGCCCGTGGCCCTCTGGGGGTCTGTGGGGAGGGGCTCCTGAATCTGAGCAGCAATGGCAAGCAGTCCCCACCCTGTGTGTCGTGAACAATGGCACACCCCGTGGGAGCCTGCTGGTGACCGTCACAGCACCATGGCACCCAGCAGTCTGGGCTCTCATCTGACTCACGGGGTGCTCTAACACTCTCGGGCAAGGGCCACACCGACACCCTCCGGAAAGGAGTCCACTTCAAGGTGACAAACCAGGAGCGACACAGCCCTCTGCACGGGGCTCCTGGGCTGTCTCAGGGCCTCTGACAGCACTGATGGGTCCTGTTCTCAAAGCCCCGCATCCCCAGACCTGGTCACCTTGAACTTTAGCTTTGGCACAAAGGTTGCTGACTTTCTAGCCACTTTGATAATTTTGAAGATAGCCCCCTGGCTTCACACCATATCCATGAAACCACTCCCAATAAGTGAGGAGGAAAGATGGGCGCTGCAGGGCTCCAGGTGCATGGGGTTCAGCACGGGGGGCTCAGGTGCTCACACAACACACAGCTCGGAACAGACGGGGTACCTCCTGCCTGCAGCCCAGGGCTGGCTGTGGCCTTTGGTGACGGGATGTTGGCTGGGGACGCACACTTCCTCTTCAGGGTGGCAGCCTCGCTGCAGCTCTCCAGGTACCTGGGTGGGTGGCCAGAGGGTCCATGTGGGCGGGCAGCACGGCCACCAGGAGGCCAGGGTGGACGTCAGGAGGGCCTGTGTACCTGATGACGCTGTCCAGGCAGCTGATCTGCTGGTAGGAGCAGGTGGGCTGGTCCTTGCAAGCCAGCTCCTCGGGGACACTAGCCCTGGGCATGCTGGCTCCCAGGCTGTCCTCTTCTGTGGCAGGAACAGCTTTCACCTGAGCTGGAGGACTGCTCTGCATTTCTGAAAAATTGACAAAATTGTTCTTTTGTCTGACACTTTCCCCCAAAAGATACTTTATGCTTATAAAGCATTTTAATTCTACCCAAAGATAGGCCCACGACTCCACATGTCTCTCAGACGTGGAAACCCCGTGAGGGCTTGACGTCCAGCAGCCAGTAGATGCACATCCCAGAGCGCTGCAGAGGGGCTCAGAGGCACCATCGCCTGCATGAGGGCCAGCCTTTAGCGGGATTCAGGCACTGGGCCCTGGCTGTCCCTGCGGCCCAGCAGCAGGACAGGCAGCTCTTACTTGGACTCCTGACTTTGGGGACTAGTGAGACCCCAGGTGCCTTTAGCTTCTCCTGAGCAGGACAGTGTTTTCGAGTGACCATAATGGCCTCTTGCCTTTCATACTGTGGTTCTGTTTGGTTCTCAGCACAGACATGACATCTGCTCCCTTGGAGCCTCGTGCCAACATCCTAGCATGGGTTCCTCTGCGGACAGGTCTGGTTTTGAAAATCGTGGCGGCTGGGCAGATTCTCCAGGGCAGTGGTGTGTGGTGTGAGGGCTGAGTGTGAGCAGGTGGCTGCAGGACCACGCTGCAGGAAGGGAGGCAAGCCATGCCACCATGGACGGGCACAGCCCCCAGCAGGGCCTGGGCAGCCGAAACACGCCCCGCGTCCCACCCGACAGGCCTGCAGGCCACCAGTACTGCTGGGACACCAGTGTCTGTCCTGGGGGATGGAGGTGGCTACAGGGGCCTTGCTCTCACTGCAGGGGGTACAGCATACACCAAGATGCAGCAAGAGCCCTTGGCTCTGCCATAGCACAGTGCTACTAAGGAAAGACAGAGTTATCTCTTTGCTTTTACCTGTAACAGATTTTTTCTTTTGTTCTCCAGATTCATGAGAAAAATGAGTTTTGGTTTTGGTCTTGTTACCATTTTTACAAATTTCCTTGAGAAAACAAAACAGACATGTTATTCATTCCAGGAGACCTCCTGCCGTCTGTCCCCACAGAGGGCCAGAGAGCAGCTCTAACAGCCCCAGGACCCAGGGTGGGCTGGGAAGTTCTGAAGGAGGGGTCTGAGGGGCAGAGCCTGAGGGGCTATGTGTCAGCCCTCGAGGGGGGGGAGAAAGTGCCCTGGCCCGCGAGGTCCTCCCAGCCTCCAGGGAGGCTTCCCCGCTATCCTGCTGCCCTAATGAAGTGTGCTGGGAAGACCTGGCCATGTGCCCTGGCTGCTCCTACTCCAAGGAGACTGTCAGCTGACCCCCAGGGCAGACAGAGCTGGGGAGGAGCGGCGGGGGCCATGAAGCCCCACTGGCCACCAGGGCCGTCTCCCATGCGCCGACCTCCTACATGTGTCCGCGGGTGTATCTGCTCAGGGAGAAGGACAGAGAGGGACGTACGGCTCTCCTCCGGCGAGATTCCTCATGGCCGTTGCTGTCGCTGGAGGAGGTCTGGCTCATGAGGTGTTCATGGGACCCGTTGCTGCCCAGGCTCCCGTAGCCACTGGAGCCGCTGTGGGGGACCGGCTGGGGGGACAGCAAATAGCACTCAGGACACAGTGGAGGGGCGCAGCCAAGCTGGGGTGGGTGAACTCATGCAGTGTGCACTGGTCCCCCCACACCCTGTTTCACTGAGAGGGCACCTGACCAAGGTCCCCGGGGAGGAGAAGGAAGTGCTATGGCCTGACCCTGAGGTCAGGCTTCAGAGGTCTCCTAGCCTCCACCCGCAGCATCCATCACCAGATGTTCTGTCACCACGGAGACACCACTGAGAGGGATGTGTTCAAACTGTTCCCTGACAGGCAGCTAWGGCCCCGACAGTCCTGCCAAAGGTTCTCCCAACCACTAGTAGGGGGATCGAACCCAGACTGAGCCACATCCCCAGCTCCTTGGATTTTTTATTTTGAGACAGAGTCTTGCTAATTTGCTAAGTTGACCAGGCTGGCCTTAAACTTAGGATCTTGCAGCCTCAGCCCCGCCCAGAAGCTGGGGCTACGGCATGGGCCACCCAGCCCAGCCTATCACGAGGTTTCACAAGTAAAAATTAATGAAATTATAGTTCGGCTCTGTGACCTGTAACTGAGGATCAGAAACGTACTCAGTGACTGGGTGGACTGTAGTTTCACTGATTTTTCTGGAGGGTGATGTCCCCAGGTCCCTCAGTGCTATTGTCCTGCACTCTGGGTTGGAACAAGCCCACACTGTGGGAGGTCATGTGTGGACTATGTGGCCCTGGGAGGACTGAGGAGTCTGCACACGGTGTCTTTCAGTGGCTCACTCGGCCTCCTGGCCTGCATATGGTACCAAATGCAAGGCCAGGAAAAGCCATGGATTTGCGGGGACAAAGACAATGTCTAAACTGGCTCCTTGGGGACATTCAGAAGGTGACAGATAGAGCCACTTGAGCAGAAGTGCTGGGACCAGGGCAGGGCAGCATGGGTGCATGCTGGAGGGGTGGACTCCAGGGCAGGGCGCCTCTCAGACCTGAGTGGAGAGGGCTGCACCCACCTGCAGCAGCAGCCGGTGGATCTGCTCCGCGAGCTCCTGAACGCTGGGCTGCAGGGCCTTCTCCTCGGCACACGGGGGCGCAGCAAACACGTCCTCATTCAGAGGGCCCCTGTGTGGGTTCACATCTCTCAGATGGGCCCACTCAAAGGCCTTCCAGACCGGGAGTACACAAGGTCCACGCTCAGCCTCCTCCCCTAGACCCCCAGGCTCCCCCAGGCTGCTCCCCGCTCTACCTGAATGAGGTCCCTCTCACCTGGGCTAAGTCTCCCCTTCCCTGGCCTGGGTTAGTGTCAAGAGGTGGTTTGGTCCTGCCTAAACCATCTGAGGTGGGAAGTGCCCCAGACCCAGTGTGAAGCCCCGGGAGCACTCACACCCTGACTCTGTGCCTCCCAATGATGAAGGAGATCTTCCTGCTCCAGGGGTTGATGAAGCTTGACCAGCTGGTGTCCAGTGTGACGTACTCCCCGTTCCGGGCGCGGAAGCGGATGGGAGAATAGTCGAAAGGCTGCCCACCGGACTGCAGGACTACGGCAGGGAGGAGCAATGGTGAGCACCGCAGAGACCAGCTGCCCCTCCCGCAGGTGTGCTGGCCTGGGCTCCAGGCACACTGGCAGGTGGCAGACATCTCAAGCCACTGCAGTTGCTCTGAATTACAGCCAGAGGGTCACGCCCTGCAGAGTTGCTTCACCTCTGCTAAGAGTGTCACTGGTCTGTGAGGGCTGGGGGTGGTGGGGACCCTCCCCTGAACTGGTCTCCCCCAACTCCCCTCAGATATTGAAGCCAACAGTAAAAATGAGACATCAGAGACTCAGGCCACAGGCAAGGGACGGCTGACCCCACAGGAAGCCTGCGCTGATTCTACCCAGGAGGATGCCAGGCCTGGGCGGGAAGGCAGCGCATCTGCCACCAGCTCGGCCTCATCAGCTCTGACCTGTCCGAGCTGCTCTGGTCTCGGGGCCAAGGCCCGACGTGCACTAGCTTCTGCCATAGCTTTTGCCACAGCCCGATGACGTACAGTACGACAGGACCTACTCTTCTTGTGGATGGCAAGCATCAGGGGCCTGTCGCTGGGGTGGAGCTGCAGGAGCACCGGTGTCTCCATCAGGTCCTGAGGTAGGTAGCCCAGGAGGGGGACCGCCCTGCAAGGCAAACAGACACGGCGGTCAGTGGGGCTGTCTTGGAGTGCTGCCACGGGCAGTGGCTGGCCACCTCAGCAGCTGTTCCCCGCATGGGGAAGCGGGCAGACTGAACTCTCCGAAGACTGAAATCTGGGAGCTGAGCCAACGGCACCAGCTAGTCTTTCCATTCAGTAGCCAGAGAGGATTCCAGTGCCTCAGGTTTGTGTTCTGTCTCCTGAAAAAAATAAATTATGCCCTTTTGTTTTTATTTTCCTAAGATCTTTTCTTTTGTTATGTGATTCATTAGTTTGGACAGAGGTGTCCTGCGTGGATGTCTGCTAACGAGCTCGCCCAGGAACCCCTTCCCAGCCCAGGGCTCCCGCCTGGCTTCTCCAGCGCTGGGTCTAGCCACCGACTGTGGCTCCCCTGGCAGCCGCAAGGACTGGCTGGGGCCTGTGCTCTCTCTGGACCTGCCGCTCTGCTCTCTGGGTGCATGTTCGTGTGAGTGGGTCCCGTCCCTGGGTGGGGGGGCAGAACTGCTGCACCTGTGCTTCTGTTTGCAGCAGCTGCTTGCCATCTGGGCTGCCACGGCCCCCTCCCGCCTCCCAGCAGCTCTCCTTGCCCACGGGGAAGGGCAGCCTGCCTTTGGGTCTCGAGAGCAAAGCCTCGTGCTGGGCTCCTGTGGCCTGGCGTCACCCTGCGACTCTCCTCCTCATCTGGACACAGTCCCCAGGCCTAGCGTTTTTCTGGGCAGAACGTTCGGAATGCTCCTGGCGCCCTCCCAGGTCAAGACCTGGCCAGAGGAGCAGAGACAGGAAGAGGAGAGGGAGAGGTGGGGCAGCAGGAAGGACACTGGCCCTCTGACCTGACCAGGAACTCTGCAGAGCCTGCCCCAAATGCCAAGCACGTCTGCCTGCTCAGGGGTGGGACAGTTCTTCCGCCTTTGGAGGAATAGACCTCCTGGGGCTGCTTCACACATGCTGGTCCAGGCCTCACCCTCTGAGATCCTGGTTTGGCAGGGCAGAGTGGTGCCCAGGAATCCACATAGTTTTCTCTATCTTTCTTTCTTTTTCTTTATTTGTGATGGTGGGGATTGAACTCAGGGCCTCATGAGTGCTCTACCATCAAGTCACAACCCAGATCAGGAAGCTGCAGGGTGAGGCCTCCCTGGGTGATGCTGTCACAGGTGGCCTTCAGGACACACCCGAGCAACCAGGATCCTTGGCACAGCTACAGCACCTGTGTGGCAGGCCCAAGTAGGATGGAGGGGACCATGTCCCCCATGGCTGCCTCAGACAGGACAGAGGCCTCTGTTCAGGTCCTGCCGGTGGCACCTCCTGCTTCAACCCAACGCTGGCCCAGGCGCCCGGTCCCTGCTGTACACCACTCACTCACCCGAGTCTAGACAGGCCCAGTCAGAACCTCAAGCAGCTCTCCAGGAAGCCCATCGTGGCACCCACACCTCACAAAGTTTTTGGTATAATTTCAAAACTACTTCATTGCCTATGTAGCCATGCGTCACTTAATAACAGGGACCTGGTCTGAGAACTGTGTCCTCRGGCAATTCTGTCATGTACACATGGCACAAGGTATACTTCCCAAACCTAGAGTAGAGGTGGGTCCCCAGACGTGGCCACTTGTCTCAACCAAGAGACGCAGCGAGCCGGAGGGCGTGGGGAGGGTTCATACTGAACTTTGTTGATGGAAAGTAGTAGACTCTGAACAACAATAAAAAGTCTAGGACTATAGGAACATGAACTAGGAATGGCTGTCCACCACGGCCAAGGGCCACATGGGCATCTGTGTGCTAGACATTTTTTTTTTTTTTTTTTGCACAGGGGATGGAACCAAGGGGCCCTATTTATTTTGAGACAAGGTCTAGCTAAGTTTCTTAGGGCTTCACTAAGTTTCTGAGGGTAGCCTCAAACCTGTGATCCTCCTGCCTCAGCCACCTGTCCCTGGGTTTACAGGTGTGCACCTCTGCACTTGGTGTGCTATACTTTTGTAGGACAGGCAGCACATAGTAGGTCTGCTTACACCAGCATCCCCTCAACTGTGGGCAAGGGTTGCACTGTGACATTAGGCTATGATATCACTGGGCAATAGGAATTTTTCAGCCCCATTATAAWCCTATTGTCCCACCATAGTATGTCACTGACCAAAACATCACTATGTGGCACATGGCTAAATACAGTTAAGCTTTTTTGTTGATTATTACATAAGTACAACAAACGTGCCACCTGGGATTTAGATAAATAGCTTTAATGTTAAGAACACGAACGTTCGCTGACATGAATGCAGCTGTTGTTATTAAGTGATCACCAACATGATGATGAGACCCTGGCTGTCTCTCAAGGAGTCCTGATGGTAAGAGGCATGTGCTACTGATCCCGACAGAGCCACAGCGGGGTGTGCAGGCAGAGGAGACCGCCAGCGCCCCTCACCTTTCATCCACGTCTTGGAACAAGCAATTCGGAGTGTGCGTCGTGGTGAAGATTCTCTTCTCAGGAGGAATCCTAGGAGCTGAAAGGACAGAAGTTTGCATAAATTTCTGATTCTAAGAATCACATATTTAACGTAGTTATATTACAAGTACTAGACAACGCCACACAGAGTCACAACCATCAGCAGCTAAAGAAAAATGCACCGTGCACGTGGAACAGCAGTGCCCACCACACAGAGAGCAGAGCAGGGCTCTGGCTGATGACCACAGGCAGCCGCCCAGCTTCTCTGGGGCCAGCCATGGTCTGCTAACTGGGAGCCACCCCAGTGACAGAGCCATGAGGCCCACACAGAGGCTTCCAGCAAAGTGTTACTGAGGCTGCGTCGTGGCTTTTAAGATGGACCTGCAGTGATCTCAACAAAGTGAGTTCAGAAAAATGAGTTACACATTTGGATTCAAAATCCTCAGCAAGTACTTATGTACTGGAGAAGGCCCAGTTTAATGGGGGCCCAGTCTACAGGGTGACTTGCATAAAGGAAGTCATAGAGCCAAAATTTTCTTCCATTGCCACATCTTCGTTCTTGAAGGAGACCGATAGTCTGGGGAATAACTTGTTGAAACCCACGTACCTGCCATGAATCCTTATTGTGTATTTGGAAGGATACATGGGACTGTTGAAGAAAGTCACGTACTGTTCATTTTTATTTTTGCTGTGCTGAGGTTTGAACCCAGAACCTCACAAGCTAGATAAGTGCTCTGCCCCTGAGCTACAGCCACGCCCGGAAAGCCACACACCTTCTATCACACCTACGAGCTGGAGCTGTTTTGCAAAAGTCATCCTTAGCCAGCTGGGTGGCCACTCCTGTGATCCCAGCTACTTGGGAGGCGGAGGAGGGAGGAGTTAAAATTTGAGGCTAGCCTCAGCAACTTAGCAAGACCCTCAAAATAAAAATAAAAAAATGTCTGGGGATGTGGCCCAGTGGTAGAGTGACCACTGATAACCAAAAAAAAAAAAAAAAAAGGAAAAGTCATCATTAAACACCAAGAGAAGATCATGTCATGGGGCCAGAACTGGATCCCTTCGGCTTCCTTACAGAGGGCACCTGCCTCCCAGGGGTCTGAGATCTCCACAGTGAGGCCCTATGAGGACTACAGTGTCACAAAGCAGTTGCTGAAGAGGGACCACAAGAAGGTGGAATGACACCTGGGTCCTCTGGGCTTTGAGGGAGGGATGGGGATTCCGCCTCGGGAGCCATTTACTGGTGAGACAGCGGCGGGATGACTGCACTGTCACTGGAGGCAGGGGCCTGGGTGCAGGACATGCTGGGTCCCAGGCTCATCACGCAAGCTGGCCTGTCCATGGAAGCCAGAGGGGTGGGGAGGAGGGGAAATGCAGGTCAAGGTGGGAGGGAGGGACGCCTGGGGTGGGCTGTGCTGTCACTGCCTTTCAGAGAGACCCATGAGCTGGGGCGTCGGGGGAAGGATGCAGGGTTGTAGCGCCTCAGACCTGTCAGGGGTGACCTCCTATTGTGGACAAAAGGCAGAGAGCATCCGTGGAAGGGGAGAGGGACACAGCCTCGGCCTGGACATGGGGGAGAGAAGTCAGTGTCCAGGTGCCTTCGACTGGGTGGGGAGAGCCCGCTGATAGTGGGCTGCGGAAGATGGGGGCTGCCAGGCCGGGGAGAGGCCAAGGCAGATGGGCAAGCTGGCAGTCAGTTCCACAGACGCTGTGTGTGACCGCCGTGGGCCTGACCRACTGGACGAGCTCTCGTCTCGCTGTGGCTGTACCTTCATAGCCAGAGTGCACCCTCTCTGCCAGCAGCAGGCAGCAGAGCTGGCTCTCGGTGCCCGGCCGCTCCTGCACCTGGGCCAGGTAGGGCGTCATGCGAAACGGCTGGTAGTGGATCTCGTTCTCGTGGTTCTCCCCGACACTGTGGAGAAGAGCAGCAGCATGCCTCAGAACCCTGACRGAGGAGCAGTGCCGCCTGCTGGGGAGCCCCCACCTGCCCCGGAACAGGTCCCACGATTCTGTCCTTTTCTGTACTAGATGCCCAGCAACTCGAGCCAAGCTGCCAGCTGTGACACCAGCTCCTCCTGTGGAGACCTGGACCTGCTGGAGGCCGCAGGGGCTGGCCTGCTCCTGCTCTTGGCTTCTCCCTTGTGACTGTCCCACTGCAGGTCAGAGTCCATGCTCCGACAGGTGAGAGTTTTCCTGCCCTTCTCTTGAGCAATTTGCATTTAAATCAGACCAAAGTGGGGTCCTGAGACCCAATTCCCTCCCAAAGGCACCAGGGTCTGGCCAGGTTGCTCCTGACACCTCCCTGCACACTCCTTTGGTCACCCTGTTTTGGAACAGGAGCCTACTGAGAACTCTACAGACTGATCAGAAAGATGCACATGCAGACCAAAGGCTGTGCAGGCCCCTGGATTCCCGGGGCCCTGGAGTGGGCTTTCTGGGCAACATCTGGCAGGTGCAGATCTGTTGGGTGATGCTCACTCTGAGCAGCAGGAGRACTCACCCCCTGCTGGCCGTGCTCCCAGAGTCTGGCACATATTTAAAATGCAGCTTATTCAAGTGCTTCATGTAGCCTTTTCAGGAATGCACCTGCTGGGCCTGCTCATGCAGAGCCTCCACCCTGGACAGGGAGCAGGAACACTGGGGAGCCCACAGACACCACTTAACCCTTCAGCAGGTGCTGAAGATGGAATGCTTACGCCACGTTCAAAGTTAGGAAAGTTGGGAACCAGGCTTACCCCACACGGCAAAAGAAGGACTTCTCCTCCATGCATTCCTGAGTGAAAGAATCTGGGGGAAGAAAAGCCTCAAGTCACTCCTCCTTAACAACTCAATCCAGACGGGCCATTTGTTTCTCATAAGAAATACTTAATTTCTCGTAAGAAGTACCACTAAGGAGAAGCAACAGAACGGAGCTGAGGAATAAGATGCACATCTGCCCACGCACAAAGTGAGACCTCTAAGCCAGAGATCTCTACATAACGCTGCCAACGGGCACACCACCAATTTAGCTCTGGAAGTCAAACTGACTGTGTGACAACATTTTTGTTTTGTTTGGTACCAGGGATTGAACCCAGGGGCACTTAACCACTGAGTTGCATCTCAGCCCTTTTCATATTTTATTTTGAGACAGGATCTCGGCAAGTTGCTTAGGATCTCACTAAGTTGCTGAGGCTGGCTTTGAACTTGCAATCCTCCTGCCTCAGCGTCTCATGTCACTGTGATTACAGGTGTGCACCACCACACCTGGCACACAACATTTATTTACACACACACACACACACACACACACACACACAAATGGCCTTAAGCACCGCAAAGCTACATATTTTGGGGATATTCCGTTCTAACAGAAACAACTCAGGAAATTTGAAAGCTTACATCAATACTTTGTAAAATCTTGTCTTACTTTAAACTTTTAAATATCTAGTAAAGGGCTGGGGATGTAACTCAGTTGGTAGAGTGCTTGCCTTGCATGCACAAGGCCCTGGGTTCAATTCCCAGCATCACAAAAAGGAAAAAAAAAAAACTAGTAAATACATGAGATCAATTGTGCAACCTCATTAGCAATGAAGAACTGGGTACTTCCATAAGGACTTCAAGAAATTTTTAAGAAATTGTAGACCTTTATTTTTCATATAAGGTTTCCTCTATGTAGAAGAAATGAGGAAAGGTAGATAATTACTGGTTATGGAAAATGATATAAAATCACTAGCCTGGAAAGGCCTCTGAGAATTCACTGGTTTTCTCTTTAATTCAGCTCATAATTCGGTTGCCACCATCCTAAGGAGAAGGTGCAGGCCTGCACCCCTGTAAATCCACAGGCGGGGTGATCTTCCTCTGTGCCCTCCCCACCCTGACTGGCCTTCTAACTTGAACTGCAAACTTTAGTGTATGATGGGATAGCTGTCGGCTGGAATCTGGAGAGAAAGCACTACATCTGAAACCAAAAGTTTGAAGAAATCCCTAAGCAAACAGCACATCTGTCGAGGCTGCCAGCCGCCAAGCTGGGGGGGACATGATGGTGACATGCCTCTCTGGCCCTCTTGCTGGTGGAATGGAAATAGGGAGGAGGTGGAAATCCTGAAGCCTGAGAGAGCCCATCAGTCCTAGACCCAGGGTGGTGAGGGCGAGGGCCGAGGGCCCTTGAGTGAGCTGAAATGGATGACCCAAAGCCGCAGACGAATGGCAGATGGCCCTGGTGCAGGGACAGAGCCGAAGCTCAGTGGACTATGATAGAGAGCCTGGGCAGCTCCCAGCCTGTCCACTTCTTCTGAGCCTCTCCCGGCTCCTCAGGAGTTCCTGGTCTGGGGTTCGACTCCAGCTCTGGGCAGTCAGAGCCCAGGAGGGGCTAAGTCATCACCAGGTACCGGCAGACAGATGCTGAGGAACACATGCTTCAAAGGAACTTCGGCTTGCTGCCCTGGTCAGTGAACTTGTGACAGGTGGCAGGGAAGGCTGTGGTGGCTGGGCCTTGCCTCTCTCTTACACACTTCCTCTGTGCCCAGTGGCTGCAGGGGAGACACGAGAGCACCGAAGCCCCTCCAGACCCAGTCTTCCCAATTCAGTCGGACGGATGCAGAAGGTTTCACTGCAGGAGCGAGTCCGTGGCGAGAGGGCAGGAGAGCGGGCTGGCAATGCGGTGGTGGGGTCAGTGAGGACAGAGACCTGGCCTCACCTCTGCAGTGCTGTCCCAGCTTAGGTGGCACCTCAGTCCCTTTCCCATTGCTCGCAGAACACCTGAGGCCGGGTGCCTTATAAAGAACAGAGACTTTTTCTTAAGAACTGGCTCTCAGTTCTCAGGCTGGGAAGTCCAAGGGTGCATAGCCAGCACTTGGCGAGGGTCTTGTGCTACATCATCTCATGGTGGCAACATGGAAGGGCAAGTGGGCCTGGGCTGAAGAGACAGAACATGCCAGGCAGCCTGGCTCTGTGGAAACTAATCCAGTCCAAAGAGAGACTCACACCTGCAGAAACAGCACTGATCCCTCTTCATGACCTGGCCACCCTCAAAGGACCCACCTTGCACCACCACCACCACCACCCTGGTCCAGTTTCAGCATCAGTTCAGAGGGACAGCCCGTGTTCAAACCACCCATCCAATCACCCAAACTCCAGTCCCTCTCAGATGCCACCAACCACCATTCCACCCACAGTCCCACAGCATAGCTTGCTCCAGCAGATTCAAAAGTCCGAAGCACAGCTGTGAGCCATGAAGCCAAAGGAAGCTGTGCGTGGGCCATTCCAAAGGGAGAGACAGGCCCCCGCAAGTCCAAGAGCCAATGGCAAGACGGTCGTGGAGCTGGAAGATCATCTTTCCCTCATGCCCAGGGCTCTCCTGGGCACAGGCCACCTCCACCTCTCTTGGGCTGGGGTGGCACACCAGTGCCAAGGCTGTCCCAGGTGGTGCTGCACGGCAGAGGCTCCGCCTGGACGCTCCACTGGGCAGGCTTGGTGGAGACTCTGGGGCAGGTTTCTGCCTGGGCCTGAAGGCTTTCCACGGCTCCCTGGGATACTATGGAAGTCCAGCCTCTGCTAGCCCTCCTGCCGCCTGCAGAACCGGCACCTCGGGAACACCTTCCAAGCCTAGCGCTCACACTCTCCTGCCTTGGCGGGAGCTGCACCTGGGCTGAGTGGGAGCAGGAAAGGCCCGGGTGGCCCCAGCAAGGCAGGCCCTGGCCTTCCGAGTCCTGCTGCAAGGGCAGCCTCCAAGGTCTCTGGAAGATGTCCAGAATCTTTGGGGACTTTCTCCCCTTGTGCTGGTGAATGTCCCCTCGTCCCTCCAACCCTCTGGTCTCCTCAGCTGTCCCATGCAGGACTTTCCACTTTGTATGTGGTGAGGTGGAGAACTTTCCGCTCCGCTCCCCTTTCCACAGAACCCTTCTGTGGGTAATCCCGACCCTGCTTTCCCACATGGTGGCTGGAAGGGCTGGGGCCGCCTGAGGGCCTGTTGCTTGCTTTCCTCTGCAGACACCCGTTCATCACCTGTGGCTCTGACTTTCCACCAGCTGCGGTGTGAAGAGACTCCCACCAAGTTCCTTGCTTCTCTGGCCGCTCACCATCCTGTAAGGTAGTCCTTACTCCATCCAGATCTCGTACGACAGCCCTCACCAYGCACATTTCATCTGCTTCTGCTCAGGCCCACGAGAGGGTCGCCAAGCCCTCCCGTCCCCCAGCCTTGTCTTCTGGGCCCACACCAGCATGCCCTCGATGCTCAGGCTTTYCCAGCTTTCACTGCAAAACTGCTCCAGCCACTGCCTGCTACCCACTTCCAAAGCTGTTCTCCTATTTTCAAGAATTGTTATATCATAATGCCTTGCTTCTTGGTACCATTTTCTGTTGCTGTAACAAAATACTTGAGACTGAGTGATTTATGAAGGAGAGAGGTTTATTTTAGCTCACGGTTCTGGAGTCAGGGAATTCCAAGAGCATGGAGCCAGCAGCTGCTTGGCTGCTAGTGAGTCCATCAGTGCTGCTTCAGATGGTGGCAGCAAGCGTAAAGGCAAGAGGAGGCCAGGCAGAGACAGCAGGAGGGAGCAAGAACTCACTCCTGGAAAGGCGTCAGGTCCTCCCAATGACCCATCACCTCTTGAAGGTCCCACCTTACACGACCACAGTGACAAACCTCAACGCAGTTTCAGAGGGGACAACTCATCTTAAACCACAGCAGGCGGGGACAGGTGATGGGCAGGAGGGGAGCAGGCAGGAGAGGCCCACGGGCAGCCAGGCCAACGCTGGCTCCAGGGAAGAAAGGTGGGCGCTGACAGGGCAGGGAGCCTGGCAGCCGTGGGCAGCCCTGGGCAGACTGTCTGGGCGCCACGCCTAGAGAGCCAGAGGTCTGCACCCAGAGGGCCTCAGCCGGACTCAGGCTGCCACCACGGCTCCTTCACAGACACACCGCGTCTCCCCGCCCTCTGCCTCGCAGCCAGCTTCCAGCTCCAGGGAGAACGATATTTCTAACACGCTGCCATTTTTGGAAATCTCTCTAGAATTTACAAAAAGTTTTTTTTTTTTTCCTCCAAATTTACTCTGAAGAGACGGAGCTCTTCACCTTTCTCCTATGGCAGAGTGGGCGGCGGGCAGCCCCAGGAGGGCTCCGTGGGTGTTCTCCTGGCAGAGGGGAGGAGGAGCCAGCCCCCACCCTGGGGACACAGCAGTGCCCAGGTCTCACCTACTCCGCCGCACACGCTCCAGGGCGGGAGCTTGCAAGGGGTGGTGCAGCTGTGGAACACGCTGACGTCCTGGGGCGCCAGGAACTCCACGAACTTAGCATCCCCAAAGGCCTCTCTCTTACAGCGGAAGATGGACATGACTTGGTCAGAGATGTACAGGATCTTCCCGGTGACCAGGGACACGGCCACAGCAAACATATCCTGAAAAGGAAAAATATGCCCCCAGTGACCACAGCCAGACAGGACCGGACAGTTGGTCAGACTGGGGGCCGTCAGACTAGAGTGAGCTGGCTGGGGCAGCCAGGTGGGTCTCTGGGCCTCGGCCCCGGCCAGCCCAGCTCTGCTTCCCTGTGCCCCTGTTGGGGTCGCCATGATATCTGAAACAACACAGCAATGCCCCATCGAAGCCAGCCAGGTGGCCGGCACTGTGGCAGTGCCAGGCATTCTGCTGGCTGGGACTTGGAGCTCTTGGAGCCTACGTGGGGTGGCCTGGAAGGTGGAGAGGCAGCCCTCCCCTCTGCTCACCGGCCTGTCTGCTGGGGCTCTGGGGCTCTGCACAGGAGCCACCTGGCCCTCAGGGCTCCGTGACAGGCTGCCTGGTGTAGGCTGGAGGAAGGGGATGGGAGGGATGAGGGAGCCCTGTTGAGGCCAGCTTCACCCGATTCCAGCTCACGCTGGGTCTCCGTTGGTCCTTCCGTCCGGTCCCACAGAACCTGCCTCCCCCAACATTCAGGCCCACCTCCACAGGGCTCAGAAAACCACGGACCAGGGCTGGGGCGGGGGCGCAGCATGTGTGAGGCACTGGGCTCGTATCTTGGCCGCGATTTAAATAATTCAATAAAACAAAGGCTTTATGTCCATCTGCAACTAAAAAAAATACTTAAAAAAACATGGACCACTAAGCCTGGGCAAGTGGACAGCCACCAATCTGTCTCCTCATGCTGAGGACATGAAAACCCGGACCCCCAGCGTGGGAGCAGCTGGGCTTCTCTGACACTGGAGACCTACGGGATGGAGTCCGCCAGGGATGAGGACAGAGCTTAGGGAAGAGGCACCACCGTCCTGGAGCCGCGGGTCACCCTCCTCTCTAGAGGCGTGGACCTCCCTGCTGTGTGCCCCGTGCAGGACTCACCGCGTTCTTCAGGATGTACTCCGAGGTGACACCCTCCACCTGTGCCACTGTGTAGGAGGGCACACCTGCGCAGCAGGGCTGGCTGTCGCTGGACATGAGCAGCTGGAAATACTCCTCATTCGCTGCAGGAGAAACAAGGTCGCACTCAGTGGGTGAGGCCCAGTGAAGGCACACCCTTGCAGTGGGACGGTCCTTTCTCAAGTGACAAGTGGGATGGACGCAGACAGTGGTGACTGGACACGGAGCTCCCAGGCRGCACACCCTGACAAGCCGTGCTGGCTGCCCCCTGAGCTCCGTCAGGCCTTCGCTTACAGAGCGCTACAAGGCGACTGACACCCCGTCTTATTTTCAGAGGTGAGACTGGGGTTTATTTTAGGAAAGCAGATACCTGTATTCAAGAGAATGGGAGCAATYTCCAGACAGACATTCTGAAATACGCTATTTAAAATAATATGGGCACAGAGTTCTTTCTCCAGAAGGGCTTTAAATCATGAAGCAACATTGATTTTTCTACGTGGGACAGTGGTGGCAGCCCCTGCATCTGAGCCCTGGCGTGGTCCACCAGATGCTCTACCTAGGTGAAAGGGGGCTGGGGAYGTAGCTCAGTGGTGCAGTGTCCCTGGGTTTAAAAAAAAAAAAAAGAAAAAAAAAAGCAGGCGCAGCAGCAATGCCCGACCAAGGATTGCAAATGGGATCTCGGCCGGGAGCGCCTCCACCTGAGCCCACCTCACTGGCTCACCCAGTGGGCAGGGCCTGTCCCTGGGCATTACTGCCCACAGGCTGCAGCGGCTCCCCCTCCAGGCAAAAGCCGAGGGCTGCGTTCTGGAGTCTGACCAGGGAGTGGAGCAGGGCTTCCTGCAGTGGGATGCGACCTTTGGACCCAGGGCCGCTTATCTGCCTTTCACTTCTCCACCTTCTGAGCGTGCTCTCAAACCAAGATATGAACCACTGCAAAGGTAGGAAACTTCTCGATTTGGCAGAGCTCCCAAGCTCCTAGGTTCCTGCAGATGCCAAGGAGGAAGGTACCCAGCCCACACGTTAGCTGACAGCAGAGCGGCTGGGCAGATCTCCACCTCCAGCTGCTCCCTCGGGAACAGGAGCCCTTCCCCAGGCAGGCAGCTCCAGGGCCCCACCTTCCACGGTGCCCGGGCCCAGGGGCAGCAGGTGCCCTCACGCTGTCTCAGGCCTGCCCAGCACTGTCTAGCAGCAATCTCACTCCGTAGACCCTACATTAACTGTCACAAAGAGACCGTGGGCTCAGGGAGGGAAAGACGCAGGACAGAGGGACACACCCGGAAGTGGAGCCCAAGTGGGAGGGCAGAGGGGCCTCCTATACTGGCTCAAGGCCAGAGGCACTAGCCACCTGCCAACTGCCAGCAGAAGCTGTCCAAGCGTGAAGCTTGAAGGCGTCCGAAAGACGCCCCCTGCCCCCCAGCTGCTGGCAACAAGCCCTGCTCACTGTGTGCCGGGCCCAGGACAGCACCAGGAGGGAGCTACTGCCCCACTGGGCCTCAGCTGCCTGCTCTGTCTGATGCGTGTGTGAACACGCAGGGTCCCCTGGCTGTCAGCACAAGATGTGACAGTGAGCAAAGGTGGAATAGAGTGACCTTCACCCAGCACCACCTGGCCTCCCTTCCTGCCCCAGCAAGATGCTACTCTGTGCCTGCTCGTTATGATGGACCCACACAGCTAAGGATTCCTCAGTGGTCAGGGGCAGGCAGTTTCACTGTGACACAAAGCGGGAGCCCAGGCTGTGAGCTGGGGATGCTCACGTGGACACTTCCTCCTGGACTCCTGCAGTGCTCTCCTAACAATGGAGAAAACTAGACGCTGGAAACTCACAGCACTATCCCTGGCAGGGAACTGTGGCTTCTGGGCCTCTCTGACCAGCAGCTACAGCGGAGCCATCCTTGGATGCCCCAGTCAGGGGCCTTGGGCTGAGCTGCTGGCTATCAGGCCTGAGGTCCAACAGCTGGTGCCCAGCGCTTGCACAGCATTTCCTGACTGTCCTGGAGACAGAGGCACCTGCAGCCACCTGAGACCCAGAGACGAGGACCCCACCTGATGGAAGGGCCAGCGTGGGAAGAGCCAGAGGAGCCCAGGCTGACTGCAGGGCTGGGCTGGGAGCATCTGGACTTGGTGGTATGTATGGGACCTCCAGCAGGTGTCAGGGACCCCTGCACTGCACCTCCAAGGAGCTCGGTCATGTTCTCACACAAAAGTCTTAGTTTTATTCATCATTGGCCAGTTTTAAAAGCTCTTTCATATTTAATTTCTTTACTTTTTWAAAAAATGTTTTTAGTTGTAGATAGACACAATGCCTTTATCTGATTCATTTATTTTTATGTGGTCTGAGGATTGAACCTAGTGCCTCACGCGTGCCAGGCTAGTGCTGTGCCACTGAGCCACAACCCCAGCCCTCATATCCTATTTTCTGATATAAAGTCCAAACGTGTATAAACGGGAACAGGATCTACATTTTGGAGGCCCCCATGACCATGTGCTTATGATGGTGGCCCTCTGCCCTGCCTCCCTCCTTCCTGGTTGAAATGACCACAAGGGCAGAAATTTACACATCTTTAAGTAAACAGGGAGTGCGCCACCTGAGTCCGTGAACTGAGCAGCTCTGAGATCTGGTGATGCCCTTCACATCCTGTACTACAGGTGGCAGGTCCTCAGCAAAAGGCTGAGAGGTGCTTTGCTTTGACTGTATTCTGGCCCATGGTGGCTCACAAACTGCAGGTGACAATCTTCCTGGACTCAAGCCATGATCCCAACACCACCTCCCCGTCAGAGTCTAGAAGACGCTGGACTCTCCTGCACGGGCCTGACACAGCCCAGGTCAGCACGGCTGGCTGTGGCACACAGATGTCTCCTTCTTACCTGCTTCTCCCCTCTGAAAGCCCACCACCACAGGAAACTTCCAGGAACGAGGTTTCCATTGCACTTCACCACGATTTTATGATTTCCTTCTGCTACTCCAGGAGGGAGTGTCGGAAAGGTGACACACCTGAGGTACCAACACCTGGGTTCAAACCTGGGTTCAAACCTCGTTTCCCAGCGGAGAGTGGAGGTGTAAAGCAGGCCTACCTTTCACCTGCTTCACGCTCCTCAGGGCGTATTTCAGGGTCGCCAAGGTGCTGGCCTTGCCCTTGGCCTGCTTATCCGCGGGGAGGTGGACCTTCAGCTCTCTCAGCGTTCTTACCAGCTCTCGGTGTGCGTCTGCTTTGGCAGACTGCTCGCTGCTGTGGAGCCAGGAAACAGAGGTCCGCGTGAGCTTCCCACATCCTTCACTAGGAACCATGGCCTGGGAGCTCCTGCAGGCCCTGTGGGGGCTCAGTGGTCCCTGGACTACCCTCCACGGCCACCACACCTGTTAGTTATGACAACCACGAGTGCTTGCAGAAGTGCCAAGCGGTCTGCTGGCAGGTGCTGCCCGGTGGGACCGCTGCCCTGACCCCGTGAGTGCCGGAGCCCCTCCAGCTGCCACGGGGCTTCCCAGGAAGGGCTGCTGGCCAGCCCCAGTCTGAAGGAGCAGACCTTGTCAGTGGGCTGTGCCCCTTGCCTGTCCCACTACATGGTGGGGAGGACAAAGGACAGTGAGTGGCTTCCCGGACGTGAATGTGAACCATGAGCTCAGAGAAGAGGAAGGGGAATTTGTGAGAAGGGTCTTCATGCAAGATGAAGAGGTGAGAGGCAGACTGGACACCTGGACAAGGCCGTTGGGGCAGAGGGCAGAGAGAATGATGGAAACCAGGCCCTGAGCCACGGTGGGCCCCCATGCTCAGGATTAAGAGCAGGATTTGTCCCAGAGGTGATTTAGAAATGCGTGTGCGCATGAGGAGGATAATTTGTTCCAAATATCCCCAAAGAGGGAAGAAGGTTCCTGATGAGCTGCCCAGCACGCAGGCAAGGTTGGCTCAGAGTAGAGCTGGGAGGGGCTCCGGGTATAGCCCACACAGAGAAGCCACTGGGACAGCGGGTGCCCGGGTGGCCAGGGAGCACCCAGTGCACAGGGCATGGTCGTGCAGAGCCTGGAGGAGCCCTGTCACCCCCAGGCCTGACCTCCAGTGTCAAGTCTTTAGACTCCTCTAACAAGTGTCCTTTGGGGGTTCTGGCGGGCCTCACCTTTGGCCACTGGGCAGGGGAGGGTGGGGGGCACTGCCCTGGGGCTCTGTCACTGCAAGGCCAAAGGCACCAGGGCTGCAGAAGCCGGAGGCAAACCAAACTCAGCAGCCATGTGCTTCCCCGCTCCCTCCCTGCCAACCGGAGGAAACAGGCCCYGTGACACCGTGGCAAGAGAGGGTCACATCGTGAGGTGGGGTGGCTCAGTCGCAGAGCGCCTGCCTGGCACACCAAGGCCCTGGGTTCTATCCCCAGGAGAAAAGGAGGAGGGCAGAAGGAAGGACGGGCGAGATGACAGAGCACGGACCTGCAGACACCAGGGAGCCGGCTGAGAGGTGGGGACCAGGGCAGAGGGCCTGTGCGCCTCCCATGTGGGGGGCTGGCCGTGGCTGCCCCTCCCAGAGCTCCTGTCCCTGGTGTCTGCTGTCATCAAACATGAGAAACATTGATGACAGCGGCTGTCCTGTGAGGAGGAATGGACCCAGTTCATTTTAATCACTCTGATTAACAGGATTTTCAGAAACCTTGAAAAACTCACACACCCTGACTGAAAGGTGCGAAATCGACCCCATCACAGGGCGATGAGACACACAGAGACAGCCATGTGTGCGTGGCCTGCGGCTGACTGACCTCTCCCGGGTGTTGGCGGGCTCCACCAGCATCCCCAGCTCCTTCCCGTTGTCCTCGCAGTCACTGCCCTGGGAGTCCCGCCCCACGGAGCAGTTTTCATTCCCACTTGAGCCACTGCTCATGTCCACATCTTCCTGGAGCAAGGCCTGGCTTGGCTGGGGCTCCATGAGCTCCTTGGCGGGGTCACTGGTGCTGGGGGGAAATTCCGCAAATCCATTCATGGTGGGCTCCAAAACGAAGCTGGCAAAGACAGGCATTAAGAAGAGTATGCAGGGTGACCGCAGGGGGTGACCGCAGGGGCCAGCGAGGGGCGCAGCCCCTGGCACCTTCCTGCACATCCGCCTGGAACAGCAGCAGTGGAGATGGACCATGCCCCCTCCTCCACCTCCTCCTGTGTCCTGAGCACCCACCTGGGGCCAGCTGCACTGGACCCTCAGCCCAACACCGAGGCACCCAGGGCCTATGGGAGGCAGACAAGAACACCAGTAGCCACCAGCCAGCAGGGGCGAGGCTCTGGGAAGCACACAGTCATGTCAAATGCAGGGCCCAGGAGCTGCATTTTACAATCTCCCCAGGTGACAGGGAGCAGCTGGGTTCGACAGTCTTGGCCATCCCACATGGCAAGCTGCAGACCCGCTGAGGGTGGGCCCGTGGGAGAGGTGAGGCTGGTGGGGTGGAGAGGGCACCAGGAGACCAGGGTTCCCAGCACGGCAGAGAGCTCGGGTTTGGGACAGAGACCTCTGCGAGTGGGGAGCAGTCCTTACACCCACCTGAGTGGTTGGGAGGCATGCAAGCACCCTGAGCACCAGGGCCACAGGACCTGGCTTGCATGCGGAGATGTCCCCACAGCTACACGACAGAAGCTTCCCCTTAGTGCTTTGGGGGCAGATGTGTGTGGGGGGGTATTAGGGTAAGATCAGCACCGAGGCTTCCACAGTAATCCTGGTGACTGACTGGGGGGTGATCGGTCAGGGAGTGTGTGGGAGGGGGACTGGTTAGAGGCAGGAGGCCATGAGCCCAAGGATGGGAGATGGTTAGATGTCCCTGGGCAACAAAGGCGTGACCCAGGAGGGAGCTTGCAGCAGGACCCAGGAGGAAGCAGGCGCTCACTTAAGCTGGTCACTCAAGGGGGGTCTGAGGAGGCACGGCCGCAGGGTAGGTCAGGCTTGAGGAGACCACCTCACTGTGCAGTGGTGAGGGCGGGGAGAAGAGCAGGGGCAGGAGAACCCAGCCCCACTAGGCCTCCAGGAACAAGCACCCAGCTTCCCTCCTCTGCCTCCAGGCCACCAAGCCTAGGAAGCCCAGGAGGAAGGAGCCTTCAGGCTCTGGCTTGGTGGGTGGCAGCACCATGGGGAGGTGCCCTGAAGGCAGAATGTCCCCTGCTTCCTTGTGCTCAGGGAAACAAGCCAGCAGGAATCCACACCGCGTCTTGGTCCCACTGTGAGCACCCTGTACCCTGTGTGCAAGGAGCTCCGGGTAAGGAACTTGCTGGGGCGACAGACTGGCCCGACTCTGAAGGTGACTCCTCCATCCCACCAGGGTCACTAGGGCAGGGCCTCCTGTCATGGCCCAGGCTCAGAGGTTTTCCCAGTGCCTGACTCTGGCCCGGTGTGGCACTGTGTCCTGCGCTCAGGCCTTCCCAGGGCAGAACAAAAGGAGGGAATGGTTTTTTGATTCCTCTTCCACCCCTTCCCTCCAGAACCCACACAAAATGAGCAAGGATCATAGAGCCATGGGTTTTCTGCAGCCCAGGAATCTCATGGGATTTCAACAATTTGCCGCGAAACAAAGGCGCACCCCGATAGTTGAAGGTCAGACGGAAGCAGAGCCGAGGACAGCCACCCGGAGCCTCCGCTCTCCGCCTTCAGGAAGCAAGCACTGCAGACCCCACTGCAGACCCCACTGCCACTGACAGGAAAGGAGAGTCTCCTGGACGCTGAACAGCCTGAGGTCTCCAACAGGACCTCGCAGAGAGAGGGTCCAAACCACCCGGGCCACAAGCAGAGGCAGGTCCCCACAAGGGCCCAGGAGGCTGCACCACTGAGCGCCAGCGCCTTCCCTCGCCAGCACCTCCTGCGGAAGTGCCCAGGCGTGGGGAGAACCCAGCGGCCGAGGAGGCCTGTCTAGTTCACAGGCACAGGCAAGAGCCACCCAGGGGGCCTGAGAGGACGCACAGCAGGAGGAAGAGATGGCACGTTGGGGACAGCACTGTGCCCCTCCTGGACAGGAGCTCACGACAAGACGGGCTCAACGACGCAAGCAAGGAAGGAGGAGAAGGGCCACGGGCTGAGGCRAAAACGCCACCCGCATGGCCGAGGCCCAGGGACGGGAATGAAGGAGACGGCCAAGCAATCAGGACACTACAGGTAACGGTCCTTTCCAAAAGACACGGACACAGGACACGGAGACAGAAACCGTCCTGAGCTGATGACGCCATGAGCACCAGGCAAAACGACAGTGGCCACCATCCTGATGTGACTCATATTTTCAGGAAGAGAAGAAAAAGCCACCAGCATCAAACAGGAACAAGAGGTGGCCTTGGAGGGAGGCAGAGGCGCAGCGCTCCTGCACATCTCTTCTGGTGTGCGGTACCCAGAAGTGAATGTCCACGTGTAGCTTTGAGAGGACACAGATGGAGAGGGAGGAGGCTCAGCCAGGGATGCTGGGTGTTGGGTGCACACAGCTGGAGCTCAGTATCTGGAGTCATTATGTCCAAAAGACCAGCATCGTTCAGTTAAGGCAAGCCCAGTGTTCTGGCATCGTCTAGCACTTGGTGGAAGTTCTACTACTTCAACGAAAGAGTGAAGGCTGCTAACTCTTGGGAAGAAGAGGACAAAGTCCAGATTCTGTAAGCCCCTGCCACAGGGGAGCCCCCAAAACATGTGAACTTGTGGGAGGTGCACAGCCCAACAGCATTAAAAGAGTGCAGAGGAAGAGACTGTTTACCAGCAGGTCACCAGAGGAGTGCTAGTGAGGAAGGACGCCAGCTGGGTGCTCAGAGTGTGTCCCAGAGCTTCTCTGGGGGGACTTGTGGGCACCCACCCCACTTGTCCAGCACACAGAAATTCCCGTCCCTGTGCACAAGCTATGTGAGCACCGTGTGGGGTGCAAGGCCTGGAAGTGCCGCTGTAGGAGCTGCCTGCAGCCATCAGGCCACCATCCCACACGACTGCCCTGGCCCTGGGCCCCGCCTCAACTCCCCAGCTGGGCTCCTGCCTCCACCTGCTCGGCTCCAGGAGGAGCGATTCTGGTGGAAGGAGCACTGGCTCACGACCACCAGGCAGGTGCTCAGAGCCCGGCTCTGAGGTCTGCCCTCCTCTGGTCTCGCATACTCCTCCAGCCCTTGATCCTGACCTTGGGGCTCTGCATGTGCTGCTCCCTCATGCCCATGGCATTCTCCTGCAGACACCCCCATCGCCACGTCACCGTGGCTCCTTCTCATCCCTGCTCTGTTTGTCCCCTCCAGAGCACAAGCTGCACAAGGGCAGGAGCACTGGGTGCTCCTTGCTGGACCATGGACCTGGCAGACGCCTCTGCAGGCGTAAAGCCCAAGATGCCACAGACTGTGGTGCACTGGCACAGAGGACAGTGAGTGGCGTTCAGAGGAAGTGGGAAGACGAGATGTGAACCACCAGAAGGACGCTAGAAAGGCCAGGGCATGCCCCAGGCACTGCCTCCTGCGCCTGCCTGCGGTGCTGAGGCCGGCCGTGCAGGCGCAGTGGGCACACTCCTGCCCCTGGGCTGACCTTCTAGTGGGTCACAGAAAGGCAAGAGGAGCTGGAACACACAGGTATTTCTGGGTGCGAAGGGGAAACCAGCAAAGCAGGCAGCAGTCAGGACACCAGAGGGGGCAGGGCGGGGAGTGTGGTGCCCTGTGTGCATCAGCTACTTGGCAAGACCTTGTACCTGAGTCTGCAGCCGCTGCTCCTCCCAACCGGGGACACCCAGGGGCCTCCTGGCCTCACACCTGCAGTGCCAGAGTCCCTGGCTCCTTCTACCACACAAGGACTAGGGTGGAGCCCCACACCCTGAGGTGGCCTTGCTCCCCAGCTGCCACCAAAGGCCCCATGAGGAAGTGCAGGGAAGGAGCTGCTCTGAGAGCACCTGGACTGCGGGAGGGAGCCAGGGCTGGGGCAGCGCCCCCCATCCCTTCGCTTTGCCTTTTTTTTTGGACAGCCTTCTGATGAGGCTCCAAGGTGCTGAGTGGCCAACTGGGTGTCGCCTGTGTGCCACCAGCGAGGGCTTCCCCTTATTTCTGTTACTTCCCTCTGGCCACCCTGTGATTGTACGTCCCAGTAAAGTTCGGACATTTAAGGTTCATCCAGAGTCGGTGTCAGGGGGACTCACCTGACAGACCAAGAGCGTGGGCAGCTGGAGAGGGGATGCTCTAGGCAGAGGACGGCAAGCACAGGGTCCCCAGGCCGGCCAGTGCCCAGCCTTTGGGAAGGGTGGACAAGGCTGGAGCAGTGCCAGGGCAGGAGGTGATGGGCAGGTGATGCAGCAACCTGCGGGGGCTTTACTCTGATGAGATGGGCCCTGCTGGAGAGTCCTGAGCGCCAGGTCTGCCCGACACTCGGGGGGACTGAGGGGGACTGCAGGGTGGCATGAGGGGCCAGCAGAGGTCCTCCTCGGGCTCTCACTGAGGTTCCTGGAGCCGCTAAGGGGCTGTCCAGGGGTGCTGAGGGCCTTGTGCACCCCCACCTCATYCCCACAGCCCCCCTCCAGATGGGAAGCCTGTCCTTTCTGCTGTGAGAGGGTTAGGACGGTGGCAGAGGAAGGAAGGGCAGCTGAGTGAACAGGCCCTGGAAGGCCAGGGTTCAGCTGGGCTTCACTACTTCCTGGGTGTGTAATCTTTCTGTGCCTTATTTCCTCATCTCTAAAATGGGAATAATTGTTCATGCTTGTCAGGCACAGTGGCCATGCCTTTAATCCCAAGATTCAGGAGGCTGAGACAGGAGGATCCCAAGTTCAAGGCTAGCCTCAGCAATTTAGGGAGACCCTGTCTCAAAATATAAAATAAGAAGGGCTTGGGGATGTTCTCATAGTAGAGAGGTCTGGGTTCAATGCCCAGAACCAAAAAAAAAAAAAAAAAAAAAAAAGTTCTAAAACAAAGTTCCTGCCTCTTATAGGTGATTGGGATTAAGCGGAAAAAAAAACAAAAAACACCTAAGAAAGTACCTGAGTAACTAAAGAAACAGCTGGACCACAAAGGTGATTTAAAGGACAGAGAGAGAGAGAGAGAGAGAGAGAGAGAGAGAGAGAGTTAGTTCACTGGCAGGGAGCTGTCTCTGGCTTGGTTTAAAGGACTAAGAGTTCAGGGACACCCCACCCCCCAGGCAAGGGAGCTGCCTGTAGCACCCTGCACTGCCTGTAGCACCCTGCACTGCCTGGGGCTCTGCATGAGCTCCTGGGGCTCCAGGCTGCCCCCAGGTTCCAGTCCCTGGGAACCTGCCTGAATAGGGTTCTTTGGTGCCAGGAGATCACCTGAGGGGAAGGATGCATCTTTTTGCAGAGAGGGCGGGGCAAGCCTGGCCAAAGTGGGAACAACAGACCAGGCCATGGGGCTGAAGCCCGTTATTCTCGCTCTCAAATGGACCCACCTCATTTTGCCAAGCTGGCAGAACCCACCTGCTGGTCCAAGCAGACTTACAAATGTGTCCCCAGTACTACGGGGGCCACACTGCCAGACCCGGGTGGGGGTGCTCTCTAAGGGGGTGCAATGGGGTAGAGGCCAGCCTGGCTGAGAAAGGGCTGGCTGGCTGCCGGCCCAAGAGGTTCTTGATGCCCTCTTTACACACATCCCCCTACTGGTTCTACCCCCAAACAATGGTCAGACTAAGAAGCTGGGCTTGCACCCTGACCAGGTCATCTGGCCACATCCGTGAACAGACAGAAGCGATTAAGAAAGTACAGTCAGGGATGAAATCAGGATCTGGTGGGGAGGGGAAGGGGGGACCCTGGGGTAGCAGCTGCTGATGCTGGCTGCTGGGTTCCTGGGCTCAGTGCACTGCCCTTTAACTCTCACAGCCATCCATACCTGACCACAGACCTGCAGCCACCTCTTCCTCCCAACCACCACCAGGATAAATAGTCAAACAAAAAGAACTGGAGCAGCAGGCCAGCTCCAGCCTCCCGCGCCTGGCTCGGGGGATTCTCCTGTCAGTCCCTGCCTGATAGGAACTGCTGGTGAAGTCAGAGCTCAGCCAACAGTTCAGCAACTTCTGTGATCACTTCTTTGAGATGGAAGTGCAGATATGTACATTGTAAGGTCAGAGCAGGATGCATGTCCCTGAACTGAACACACCCTTGTGACCAGCCTCGCCTCCATCCCTGCCCCCAGCCCAATCCCAGAAGCCCACTAGCCTTCTGGCTTCTCAGAGCCGGCCCACTCTGCCTGCTTTCCAGCATTACATAACAGGCTCAGACAGCTTGTGCTGTGCGGCTGCAAGCCCTGCGGCATTTACAACCCCAAATATTAGAACATGTTTTCTACTTCCTGGTAGAAGCCAACTCCCTGAGGCCAGACTGCTGTAATCTGGAGAAAATGTTTGTCCTGATAAATAAACAGCTATGTTCTCCATGGAGACGGCTGAGTAACTGTGACCAGGGCTATCCAAATATGGAGGGGCAGAAGGCACAGGGGAGAGGCATTGTCCAGGCCTCCCTGGGGCTCTCCTGCACGCTTTTAAAACCATAATAATGCAAAGTAGTGGCCCCCAGGCCTCTGTGTTCAGGGACTGCAAGTTGGTGGGTTCTAGGGAGACTAGGCATTTATTTCTCATGTAACTCAGCTGTTCTTACTCTACCCAGCGCTGAAGCAAACAGGTCCTGATTTCTTCCGTCACCCCTAGGGAGAGCATGTGGAGCCCTTCAAGGATGCAGGGGAGCCATAGCATGGCCGGCTGCTTGGGTCGCCCTGTGGTCTTGGCCTGTCCCCAGCACTGCTGCTCTAGGCTTGGGAACACAGGGACTCCTTTGCTATGAACGCGCATACAATGAGCATAAAAACTTAAAGGAGGGCCAGGTCCCCGGAGGGACGCCCTGGGCCCAGGGGGGACCAGCAGAGCCCAGTCTGCACTGCTGGTTCTCCCCGGGGTCTTCAGGTGGGCCGCTTCCCACAAGGGCAGAGCACAGAGGTTTCTGCATACAGTGGGGCTGTGTTTCCAGTTGACTTCATGGAATATGGTGATTTTCCAAAGAAAGAGCAAAGTCTGGCACGCTACTCACTAAGAGGTCCTGCCAGCCACCCAGTGACCTTCCTGAGCTGCAGCCCTGCGGTCTGTGAGGCCTGCTGAAGTTGCATCATCACTAACAACAGGCCTGCCTCCCAGAAAGTTCGGTGTGTGAGAGAAGCAGCACAGATGAGAGGAGCCTCTCCTACCACCTTCTAAGCACAGCAGATAGCCTCACGGGGGCATCCCAGGACCCCAAAGCAGGCATGGGCCAGAAACCTCTCCTGGGAAAATCAGCCCTAGGGTGACAAGAACCTAAAACCCTGGAGTCAAAGGGGACCTTGGAGACTCCCCAAGCAGATGAGGAAACCAAGGCCCAGGGCAGAACTCAGTCACCCAGCAGCAGCCAGACGGCTGGCACAGGTCTCTGCCCTCGCTCTAGTATCGACAGAAAGCTGGGGCTGCACTAGTTCTGTATCAATGAACCACATCAAGGTGACAGTGTCAGACATCTGTGAACACCCACAGCACCATCCCTACACGGCACGACACAAGCTACCACTTAGGAAAAAAAAAAGAAGTCCCATGTTCCATTATAATCCACGACTCACAAAAAGTGATTAGCTCTATGCTTAAAAACCGCTTCCAGCCACAGCCTTCAGACAGTCCTGTGTCCTTCTTAGCCACACACTCAGCCTGGGACCAGGAAGCCCAGGTGGGCTAGGGTGGGGACCCCCTTCAAATAAGGGACATCAGTGAACTGGCTGTGCCAGGAGGGTCCTGCCATGGTGACTCTCAGGGGCTCTAGACATTTGGGGAGCTGAAGCTCTCCCCCCAAGCACCAGCCCTCTCAGGACCCAGGACCCAATCTCAGGCCTCTTGCCCCTCTGGAAGGCACGCTGACCCAGGGTGATAGGAAGACCCCAAGGGGCCTGGGCCTGCCGTGGTGTGCACCTGGCTTGCGTGCGTGCCTCAGTTTCTTCTTCTGTCAAGCCTAGGGGTGGCCCTGGCTGATTTCCAAGGAGCCTTCTGCCTCCCTTGTTCTCTGAGTATGAATCAGCTTTCCAAACTGGTTCCTTCTGTGTGGGTTACAGAAACCCCGGCAACCAAGCTGTCATCCTTTACCCTGGCCTTCCTGGAGAGGGAGCAGGCCACCGCCCGCCTCTCCATGCCTGTACTTGGCAGCCCAGGCACTCCCCACCAGGATGGTGTGACTCCTTCACCTCAAAGTGGGCCCCATCCATTCTGGGGAGAAGGAATAAATATAGTGGCCCAGGACAGGGCAAACTGGGTAAAGGTCAGGGGGTCTCCCTCAGGATTCCCAGGCCTGGCTTTCTTGTCTCTGCTCACCACTCCTGGACCACTGCTCACCCATGGCCTGGGAGCAGGAAGCCAGCTTCCCAGGTGGCCGCCTCCAAGGACAGTTGAACTGACTCCCCTATGGGGTCAAGGGTGGGGGCAGAGTTGGTTCCTAAAGGAAATCATTTAAAGAACCACAGTCTGGTGTAGCAGTCACTCAGTAGCTGTGTCTTTAGGCAAGTTGCCTGACCTCTCTGGACCTCAGTTTCTTAATCTGCAAAACGGGAATACTGGTACCTACCTCGCAGAATTTGGGTGCATGTTAATGTCACCGTCTGCATTTTGAGTCAGGCCGAAGATGTCCTGCACACCCCTTCCCCAGGCCGTTCTCGGCCAGGGCGTCAAGCGGCCCTGAAAGCCTGGGGAGCCGGCGCCTCCGGACCCCCGCCCGCCAGCCTGYGGCCCGCCCGGCCCGCGGCGGTTACGTAAGCGAGGAGCCGCTGCCGCGACCGTACTCCCGCCTGGCGAGCCGCGCCACTCACCGCCCCGCCGCGTCCGCCATCTGTCGTCCCCGGGTCGGCCCGTCGTTCCGTCTGCCCGGCCCGCGCCCGCCGCCGCCCAGAGCAGCCAGGAGCCGCCGCGCCGCCGCCGCCACCGCCGCCGCGCCGACCGCTGCTGTCACATAGTGGAAAACGTGACCGCGCGCGCCGTGCCCGCCCCTGGCGCCCGCCATTGGCCGTGGCGCCGCCTCATCTGCATATCTGGGGGGCCGGGCCTGCGAGCGCCGCACGCCCATTGGTGGCGGCGCCCGTCGCTCACTTTACATAAGACGCACATGGAACTCCATGTTCCTCGCTTCGGTTCCTCAATGAAGACGCGTCACGCTTGTGCCACCCCCGGGTCCGCCCGAGTGGTCCTTTCCACTTCCGGCCTCGGCACCTTCCATTCAAGGCGTCCCGCAGCCGGCGGCTCGCAGAGCTCGGAGTGGCGCGTACCACTGCGGCGCGGGGGAGCTGGCGTGGGTCCTGGGTTGCTCCTGCGCACCTCGCGCCCCGCGGAAGCCCAGCCCGTGGGGGGCTTGTCATTTGTGGAGACCAGCAGGAGGCGCGCTCCCGGGCCGCCGGAACCTCCTTGCGGACCTCCTTTCTTCACGCATTTCCATTCATTCATCAACTCACTCTCTTGTTCATTCATCGCTAGGCGCTGGAGCTGCCCGGGGACGTACACAGGTCGGCCGCAGGAGCTCCAGCTCCTGGTGCACGTCCACCCAGGCCTCTTATCGACAGGACAGTCAGTTTCCAAGACCTTTCTTATTTTTTAAATCATGTGTCGCAATTTTTGGTTTTGGAAATAGGGTCAGTGTTACTGTAAGGAGGTACAAGAGACATAAATAATGTCCTTGTTCCCAAGCACATCATGAAGGAGAAAAGACTGCTTTCTAAAAAGAGAACTTAATCAAGTACTAAATTGGGTGAGGTGGATTACAGATTAACCAGGGCCAGAGCCCTTCTCAGAGGCCCCATGGAGGAGGAAGAACTTCAGGAGTGGGTACAAGGAAAGAGGAAAGCTTTCCCAAGGTGCAAGTCACAGAGACACACCAGCCTGTGGGTGGGGGATGTGGGGGACAGGCCCGGTAAGCTTGAGGCATGTTAAACCCCCATCGCCTGTCCAGAGTGTCAGGAAGGAGAGCAGAACTTCCCCTCTGATTGGACTGCTTAGGAGCCTGAGACTTTCCTGCCAGCAGTGAACAGCCCGTAGACCCTGAAAATGCACAATATGATGGGGAGGGGAGGCTGGCCTGGCTTGGAAGGGCCCAAGGGGCACTAGATGCAGTCCAAGAACCTAGGCCCTGTGGCATCTCCCTCCACTCTTCCTCATCTTTTTTGTGCTCCCCTGGGGACCAGGGAGGGCAGGAAAGAAAGAGTTATGGACCTGTAACCTGTAGGTAAACTAAGCTGCTAGTGACTAACCCACATTCAGGAATCCCCGTGTGTGAGCCCCTTCTTCCCCTCTACCTGACAGGTGTGCATGCAGCTTCTCAGCTGTGAAAGGAGGCGAATGCCAAGTCCATCTGGCAGTCCTTCCCACCAAGCCCTGGAAAGCCTGTCTTGGACTCTGCAGTGTCAGGCTGGCCTTTCTCTTGTCATGCTCCTGCCCGTCCCCGATACAGGCACACAAATACCAAGCAAATCCTGCCCGGCTGCTCCCCACACACACCCAAAGGCCCTTTTGTTTCTTCCCTGACATTGACGTCAGTGGTGGCTCCATTGTCTGAAAACAACACTGAGCGGACGACTCATCCACACCTCCGGTTCTGCCTTCTTCCTTGGCTTTTCCTTGGTCTTACTCTGTATTCAGCCCATAACCTAATGTCACACTTCCCTCTTAAATTTAGCTCATTCTATTTCCACCAATAAATTTGGTAGAAAGACATAGACATCAATTCTTTTATAAATTCTCAAATGCCATGGGCTTCTAGAACCCTCTGGTCTCAGTTTTCAGTGTCTGGCAGATGGTTTATCCTTTCTTGTTATTGGAAACTTTCATTCATCCACACAATATTTGTTGACACTTGAGGACTGGGCTCATGTAAAAACACATCTGACTGAAACCCTGCTTGTGAGGAGTTTGTGAGGTAGGACCGATGGGCAGGGCAGGTCCAGACGCAAGTTAGTCCAAGATGGGGTATAAATCCCAGGCAGAAAACTCCACCCCAGTTCTTGAAACACAGCCCATTAAAGTTAAAAGCAACTCTCTGACCACAGCTTTTCTGCTCTGCCTGGAGTTTGCTCTCACTGAGAATGGAGGCTAAGGGGCAGCCCCTTGGCCCCAGTGGGCACCACCAAACCAGGCTGTGACCAGTTTCTGACTACTGCAGCCTAGCAAAATCCGCACACATGTTTCCTGCTTTGTGACCCACTGCACCCCCAGTCTTCTTATAAAATAGGTGTGCAGGGGTACATGCTTATAATTCCAACTACTCAAGAGGCCAAGGCAGGTGGATGGCAAGTTCAAGGCCAGACTTGGTCATGTAGTGAAACCCTGTCTCAAACTCATAAAGTGGGCTGGGGATGTAGCTTAATGGTAAAGTGCCCCCCCAGGTTCAATCCTCAAAACCAACAAAAGAGAGAGAAAAAAAAAAAACCTGTTCACATCCCTGAGCCCCCTCAGAACATGGAGATTTGAGACCAAAAAAGGTTCCCTCTGTCTTCCTCAGGTCAGCTTTCAATAAACTCACCTTCTTCACCAACCCTTTTTTCTCAAATTATAGTGGAGCTGAGCCGTGGGACTTTGGATCCTGCTAAACCTCCAACAGAGGGGAACACCCTGTGCAGACCCTTAGGCCAGGCCTTGTCCCCGGATGCCTTTCTCTCTGAATCAAGATGGAAATTGGGGGACGGAGAGGGTGTGTTGGGCAGTTAGACTGAACAGGGGTGGTGAATCCTTTCCCCGCCAGTCCTTGCAGATCACCGTCACCTCCATCCAGTGCAGAACTCATGGATGGCCAAGCGGCCATGGGCACTGGGGGAGGCAGGCTGACCAGGAGAAAGCCAGCCCTTCAGGTGGAAGAGGCAGGGTTCATGAGCTGGGGTCCCAGGCTGCTGGGGAATGTGGTCATGGAGGAAGCTGGCCTCTGGTCTCAGCCTTCACCCATTCACCTCCCACACAGAGGCCCATGCCTGCCAACTCAGCCCTCCCCATGCAGGCTTGTGCCCTGCCTGGAGGGCCTCTGCGGCTCTCCCGCTCCTCTGCTTGGTCAGCCAGCAGTTCACCAGGGGTCTACCTCACACCAGCTTCTGTGCCTCTGCTGCCTCTTCTCCTCATGGATTGTGTGGTTTGAGGGGTGACGAGCTGGGGCACAAACTGGGGACACAGGAGGCTGGGAAAAGAATCATCTCAACAAATGCAGGTGGGGGTTGCCAGTAAAGCCCCCTCTGAGGAGGAGGGGACCTGTCAATCTTCCTGGCCCTCCAGTCCAGAGCCCTCTTCACGGTCCTAGGGACAGTGGAGGTGGGAATGCCTGACCCTCGCTCTCCAGTTCCCTGCAGCAGACCCCAGGTTGGCATGGCGGAAGCTCCTGGCAAGGAGACCCTTAGCCAGCTCTCGGAGGATGGGCAGCTGTGTTCAGGGTGAGACAAGGTCTACCTGTTCCTAGTGGTCAGGAAGGTCCTGAGCCAGGCAGGTGGCCTAGGGGCAATGCCTCTTTCTAGACATGAGGTAGACTGAGAGCCAGTATAATTTTTTTTTTTATACCTAGRATTGAACTCAGGGCATTTAGCTACTGAGCTACACCCCAGTCCCTTTTATTTCTTATTTTGAAATAGGTTCTCACTAAGTTGCTTAAGGTCTTGCTAAGTTGCTGAGGCTGGCCTTGAACTCATGATCATCCTGCCTCAGCCCCCCACGTCTTGGGATAACTGGGTGTGCACCATGACACCCAGTTAAAGAATGTATCTTGATCATGCTGGCTGCCTACTGAGTTTTTATTTTTATTATTTTTATTATTTTTGGGGATTGAACTCAGGGGCACTCTGTGACCCCTGAGCCACATCCCCAGCCCTATTTTGAATTTTGTTTAGAGACAGGGTCTCACAGAGTTGCTTAGCACCTCACTTTTGCTGAGGCTGGCTTTGAACTCATGGTCCTCCTGCCTCAGCTTCCCTAGCTGCTGGGATTACAGGCGTGTGCCACCACGGTCAGCTTCCCATAGCTGTGTCTCTGCAGTACAATACTCTGGATAGACTTGTTTACTTCATTGTAGTACATCAAAACAAAAATATAAATAAGTGCATAAGTGCCCCAAGCTTCCGCCTTTTTTATGTTGTACATCTGCTTTGTGTGGCTATAGGACTAAATGTGTACCCAACCAACCTCTCTTATTGTCAATTTTGCAAGTTAAAAGCGTAGTTTTAATAGAAGCAAAAACCCACCACAAGGATACCTGTGGCTTKGTCCCTCCAGGTCAGTGGTACTGCTGGGGACAGAGCAGTCTTCCTGGGCTGGCAGTGCCTGGCCTTCCTCAAGCCCAGCTGGCACCCTCTAACCACGTCGATTGAGAAAACTTGAAACTTGTTGGTCATAAGACCATGGGAGAGGGTCTGGGGGTGTGGCTCAGTGGTAGAGTGCTCGCCTCGCCCGAGTGGGGTCCGTCCTCCTCAGCACCACATGAAAATAAGTAAATAAAACAAGGGCCTGGAAAAGAAAGACAGGAAGCCAAGGACTGAAGGGACAGCTTGCTCTTGGCTGGGGAGGAGGGAGCATGGGGCACAGTGTCTGGCCGGCCTGGGGCGAGCTGCAGGCCGACCCTTTCCCTCAGAGCCTGTGGGCTGGGCTGCCCGGGTTCCTGCTCTCTGGCAGCTGGAGCCCCCTCCCATGGTCTCTGAGCCACCCATCCCTCTGGCCGCTCTGGGGGGCAGGCCAACAAGGCTCCGTGTCCTAGG